CTTTGGCTGTTTAAAAACTCGGCCTCTCGTTTTTTGCAGAGTATCATTAAAAAAAAAAAAAAGCTGCAGTCTTATACCGGCTTCATTCAGATTGGGTTGGGTTAAACAAAATATTACAATAGTGAGAACTCATCTGGAACAAATAATTTTTGGGGGGCCACCCAAAGTATGAGAGAGGGAGGGAGAGAGAGGGGGGGGAGTGAGAGAGAGAGTAGTCTGAATCTTGCAGAGGGAGCAAAGTCTGTGCTGCCCCCTGGTGCATTCTGGCGGTACTGCAAAGTTTCTAAATGTTAATAATCCAGATTTTGCTTGGTCTGCACTTTAAAATCTATCAAGGCTATTTTTTCCCCAAGAGTTGATGTCTCAATCCTTTACCGTCCTCAATGCCTTTATTTTTCAAAAGCAGCTTTTTAATTTTTTTTTAAAGTGGAAATGCTAAATGTGCAAAATGGAGTCTCACCAAAGGCTGTTTCAAAGAGTCCCAATTTTCCCTGTTTTGCACGTTTCAAGAGTTTTCACACTAGATAGAAAGCATTGTGATGTTATTCTGGGTCTCTTGGCTGCAAAGTGGGTTGTTTAAAACACAGCTTGAGGGTCTTTTGAGAAACAGAGGGGACTGTAGCTTTGTTCTCGAGAGAGATGTCTCCTTTTTTTAATTATTGCCCAGATAGACTGCACTGGGGTTTTTTAAATAAAGAAGTGGGGTATGTTTATCCATACGTAATTTAAACAATTGAAAGTAGATTTGTAGTAGATTCACATCTCAATGATACTTCATTGCTTAAATTACTTGGATGACTTAAATTATACACAAATCTCATTTATTAATATACTAAGTTAATAGTGCAATATGCAGTACTGATTTCTGCTTTTAATAGCTTGGCTTATTTTTTGGCAGTAGAGAAGCAGGAGAGTTGAAGGAAAAGTAGCCACAGATAGATCAGGATAGATCTAACCAAAACCAAGAGGCAGAAGAAAGGAAATGCATTTCAGGTGGCTGAATGAAGTAGGCAAGCTAGGATTATCACATGACCTCACCATTTAGCAAAAAAAAGAAAAAAAATCCTCCATTTTCTTGCAATCTTTCAGCCTATATCCTAACAGTTATCCAGATGTTTGTAGCCCAGAGATGGTTGCCTTAAAAGTTAAATCTGAGACTTTTGTGTGTGCTGAGAAGTCAGCGTTTCTAATCTTCAATACCAGGGAGTGTTTTGACTTTAATTAGGAAGCACGAAAGCAAGCCCAAGGCTATTGGCAAGGAGATGAGGTGCATCACATCTGCTTTTTGTCATTTCGGGTGGGTTTTTTTTTTTTTAAATGCTTTTCTTCCTTTGCTCTTTAGCACCACCTGCCGGATTTGGCTGTCAAACTGGCCACTGGCCCAAGGAACACACTTCCTCCTGGTCAACTCTGCAAACTTTTTTCTTTCTAAGGTTTATGTCATTTTGGTCATTTTTGTTAGCCAATCTATGTTACGAGAGAGAGAGAGAGAGAGAGAGAGAGAGAGAGAGAGAGAGAGAGAGAGAGAGAGATGGACGAACGAACAGATGGATGGATAGGATAGAATAGGATAGATAGATAGATAGGTGGATGGATGATAGATAGGTAGGTAGGTAGACGGACAGAGAGACAGATGATAGATAGATAGATGATAGATAGATAGATAGATAGATAGATAGATAGATAGATAGATAGATAGATGGACGGACAGACACAGAAAGACAGACAGATCAGTAACCCAAGAGAATTTGCAAGGTGACTATAACTAATCCCACCAATCAAGAGCAACTTTGATGCTGCAGTTGGTAGTATTTCATTTGGGTCTAAGTGTTAAAAGGCATCCTTGGAAGAAAAACAATGTGGAGACATGAGATCTCAAGAGTCTGAAAAAGTAGTGTGTGTGCCTTGGGCGATCACGTAACACACTTAACCTGATTAATCAATCAACCTTTGGAGTTCAAAGAATCCAAACAAAAACTAACCCAATAATTTTGGTTCACACAACAGGAAGAATTGGAACGGCAATCAGGTTTTAGACAACAGGAAGAATTGGAACGGCAATCAGGTTTTAGACATCGCAACCAAATCCTTGGTTCTCAACAAAGTCAGCCTGGGTAAGCTGTCCCTTCCTTTCCTTTTTCCCATAAGGAGGAACATCATCTAGATCAGGGGTCTCCAAACTCGGCAACTTTAAAACTTGTGGACTTCAACCCCCAGAATTCCTCACCAGCCATGCTGGAAGTTGAAGTCCACAAGTCTTAAAATGGCCAGGTTTGGAGATCCCTGATCTAGATAATTTATGGCCCATCATTTATTGGAAAGAACATTGAAACTGGCAGATTATAAAGAGAAGGTAGGTTCATGGCTCTGCCATCACATCCCTCCAGTGGAAATATCTCAAGACTTATTTGCAGGAAGCAAAACCAACCATTGTCGATATATTTACAACAACGAACACAATAAAAAAAACACAAGCTTCAGCACAGTTTTGTGCATCGAACAATCACAAAAATATAAAATTTATTTAAAGCTGAAACTGCCTCTACCCCACAGGTCTGAGGATGAGCATTCACTTAGTGGTATAAAGAAATGGTTCTTAGATTCTATCTCCAAACTGGACCCCTAAATCTGCTGTGATGACGCTATTTTTTTATTATTTTTGTACAGAGGAATCCACATTCTAACTTACGCTGAACAAGTCAAGAATTACCAGGTATTCTTAGTTGCTGAGGTTTGGCTTTGGAATCACATCTGCACAGCTACAACTCCACAGCAGCATCCAATCAGTGCATGTTGTGCAGTGTGTGTAGAGGTTCTAGGCCAGTGTTTCTCAACCTTGACAATTTTAAGGCATGTGGACTTCAACTCCCAGAATTCCACAGCCAGCAATGCTGGCTGTGGAATTCTGGGAGTTGAAGTCCACATGCCTTAAAATTGTCAAGGTTGAGAAACACTGTTCTAGGCGTATGTGCTATTGGGAAATACTGCTAAAGAGGCCTGCTTCTGAAAAGCCCAGCTAAAACCAAGATCTTTCATCTCAGCATTTTTTCTTTAATCAAAACATGTATTTAGAAGGGGAAGTAACAGCAAACACACAATCAACTTTATAGCATTTTTAAAATGAGTTCAACTGGGCTGCCGAGCTACCTCAGAGCCATTTTTTAAATTTTTGTTTTGCTTCTCCAATTGTTGTTCTTCAAAATTAGGAGACATCAGTGCATCTAAGAGGGAACTCAAGGCATCCCCACAAGACAACCAATGTAGGAAGTGACCATTCCTGGTCAAGGTATTGAAAACAATTAATCAAAACTGCAGATGGAAACAAGGCGATTTGGGGCATCAGATCCCAGGCATGCTTTACCCGGGCAATGCTACTAGATCCTAACCTCCAGAGATTTGTGATCCTCTTCTGAGACCTGAAACACAGAGAGTTCCAGGATCCAATCTGGGTCGGTTACTGTGACCAGAGGATTAGTCTTCTGAGCTTTCAGACTCATGCTGGATCCCATCCTCAGGGAACTTCTCTCTACTGGAATGTGTGCTTTAGGCTATTCCAGTGGTGGCGAACCTAATGGCACGGGTGCCAGAGGCAGCACTCAGAGCCCTCTCTGTGGGCACACATGCCGTTGCCCCAGTCTTGCCTCCCCCACGACCCCTCCTCATCAGCAGCCCCCCTGGAGGAGAGTCACCTCCGAGCGTGGCCCACGTGGAGCAGCGCAGCCAAGGACATGGCAGCCAGACAGCGTAGACAAGACTCTGCCCTCACGCCCCATTGCACACAGTTGATGCTGTGGGGCGCGGGCAGAAGGCGTGGCCACCATGGCGCTGTTGGGCGATCTGCGGCGGGCCCTGGAGGTGGTGAGCTGCCTTGCGGGCAGGCGGGGTAAGGGCGGAGTGGGGGCGGGGCCAGGTTTTGGGCACTCGGTCGCTAAAAGGTTTGCCATCACTGGCCTATTCTATGCTTTGAAGAGCCCAAAGAAACACATTCTGGAGACAGAGAAGTTCCCTGAGGATGGGCTGCAGCACAAATCTGAAAGCTCAGAACAGGAGCCCTCTGGTCCCAGCGACAGACCCAGATGGGGTCCTGCAACATTATCCTGGGACATGTATGTTTGTCTTCATTCATGCAGAGGTTCCTTGCACAAATGTTCCGGACTTCCACTGAATCAGCCTCAGCATCCACAGATGGTGCCAAAGGATTGTAGATGATGTGATCCAAAGCCTTGCCTCCTCTGATCTCATACACCTCTCCTCCAGTAAACATCTATTTGCAATAGTGGCGAATACCTGTAGCTCAGGTGTAGGGTGAGGGTGAAAGTTGGTTCTCCGAGCTTGTGGGCTGGTTTCCGAATGTTTCGTTACCAGGCTGGGTAACATCCTCAGCGTAGTTTAGGGGATGTCAGCGTCCATGCTCTTCTGTTTATAAGGGCTTCAGGTGTGAGTATGTCAAGTGAGGGTCTTGTGATGGTAGGGTGACCTTAACTTATCACAAGACCTTCACTCAACACACCCACACCTGAAGCCCTTATAAACAGAAGAACACCGACCCTGACATCCTCTAAACTCCGCTGAAGATGCTACCCAGCCTGGTAATGAAACGTCCAGAAACCAGCCCACAAGCTCGGAGAACGAACCTTCACCCTCAGATATCTATTTTCCTATTTCCCCCCACCCCCGCTCCAACTTCATCTGTGATAGAAGCAAGGTGGACCAAAGCACTCAGGAAAACAAGTTTGAAGGATAATCTAAGTGTCCAGGGAGGCCCCCACTCCAGAAGGTCCTGGAGAACATTTGGGGAGCCACTGAGTCTACCAAATCATCACCGACATCGTTATGCAAAGCAATATAGTGTTTGTACTGATGGCTCCATTTCAATAAGGAGAAAGTCCCATTTCATAAAGTATTGTTTGTAAAAGGGGGCTGAAGCCCACCAACCTCTTGAGGCTGCATCAGCGTCTACAGACTCCAGGCAAAGCAATAAGAAAAACAGAACAAAATAGACTTGTTGAACCTTTTGTTTGTTTTTGCATCTACGAACACGTGCAAAGTAATCTGCAGAAAGCATTTAAGCCCTCAGTGTGACAACTTCGTAAGATTTTCATTCTACCCGCCTGACCTTTTTACTTTCTCACAAAGCATGAAAAAGTATTCAGAGATTTTTTTTTTTCAAAAAAAGGTTGTGATTGTGTTTTACTGAGGCAATCATGCCTGATGCAACTACAGGAGACAGAAAACAAACAGAACAATCCAGCGTTTTGCAAAAATAGATTAAAGTGTCGTGTTGCTAACCAACAATCATGTGCATGGCTGAGAATTTGGAACTCTGATCAAAAGCAGATTTCCTAATAAATTAATTGAACCGACCAAAAATTAAAAAAAACAAAACCCAGAAACAAAACCCCACCCCTCCTATAAAACATAATACAAATATTTTTTTTATCTTTCAGTCAATGTAAAATCTTTAGGAACTATTCCTTCTCTCTTTATAGACAGATATAGATAAAATTATAGATTTCCTAAACATTTTTTTAAAATAACTTTTTTTTTTTTTTTTTGCTTAGGAAAAATAAACACTCAGAGAAAGAAAACCTGAAGATGGTTGAGATTGATCCTGAGAGAACGAGGTCATTTTAAAGTAAATTCATAACTCTGGGGTATAGATTTTAAGCCAATATCCCTGAAAACCTCAGGGGTTTGTAGCAGCAAGGTTTCAGCACATCTTCGGAGTGCTTTTCTCCTCCTTTTACTTCTTTAGGAATCTTACCTACGCTTGGTGTTCAAGTGAGCCAAAACTAGAGATGTCTGCTTCCAAAAAGTGAGAATCCAAATCATTAGAAGAAGAAGATCAGTGTTCTCCCCACAAGATTACTACAAATCTCTGAATAATATCTAAGTCAACTTGCAGAGGTCAAACTAGAAATAAGGGGCTGGCATCCTATGGCTGCCATGGACAACAATTCAACAATGTCCAGTCTCTTGTGTGACTCATTACTTCATATCAAAAGGTGGGGAAATGCCTGCAGGGGTCTAACCCAGGAAAAAAACAAATGAAATTGGAAATATTTCTGTCTCATGCAATGCCCAGCATACTCAGTGATCTGTGGAACACAGGGCAACGAAGAACCTGGCAATACCATTTCATTAGCTCACATTGCAAAGAAGGACTCTCTTAAGGACAAGCTACTATCCTTTGGTTTCCATCTGACTTCTTCAGAGCCAAACTGTCCCAAGATTCCCAACTATTCACAGGTTCTCAGAGGATCAAAGTCATTGCCAATGGGAAAGACCTCACCGAATCAAAAGGTGTGCCCAGGAGGCATAAGACTAAAGTGAAGTTTGGAAAAGAAGAAGAAGAAGGAAAGAAACCCCAACCACAGAAAACGCTCGCTAATCAACCTGATTTGAAATTTCACAGCAGTGTGCTACAAAGTGTAATCGTTACTTCTTTTTAGTTTTCTTTTTTTTTTGCAGCCGATACAAAAATAATGTATTGCAACTCAAAAGTGCTTTTTAGTTTTGTTTTTTTTTTTAAAATAAACAGTTGACTTTTTTTTTTCTTTATCAAATAAAATATTTACACCACTTTATGTTTGTTTGTTTTTGCTTTCCGGAATCAGAAGCCTTCTTCATGCTATTACCATGGGGACGTCGTCTGAAAAACCCGTAATCATCGCGGCTTCGTCGTCTTCATCTCCTGGTAAATCAAGCCACAAGGTGATTGACACTCAACGACAATGAGAGACATTCAAGACACGAAGAAGTGTAGAGATGGGCATGGAGGATCACTGGGGATCATCCCTACGTCCTCACCGTGATCCATAGAAGTTTGGAAAAGCTCAATAAACGATGGTTAACTAAGGGATTTGAGGATTAGTGCAATGTTTGGTCTAACCTGTTGACTGTTTTTTATTTCTTTTATGATACCATATTATGATCAGATGTTAGGTCAATTTGATTACTAGATAGAGATCCCCTCCCCTGGAATTTTTTTTTATTTAATATAGTATTCTTGTTAAACAGGGATGGGAAAGCTTATAACTATTTGGAGACCCGTTATGTAAAGGGGAGGAGAATTTATCAGTTTTTTTTAAAATTTATTTATTTTCAGCATCTAATCAAGGTGGATTCTTTACATTTAATGTTAAATTTATTGGATATTTGGGTCATTCTTTCCCTTTTTTGTACACAATTTTTTTTCTGCTTTTTTTTGTTGTTGTTAGAGTTGGATGCGTATTTTTCTATTTTTCCACTTTGCATTTCATTCTTTTATAATAAATAATTATATAGAAAATGTGGCCTAATGAGACCACTTAATTCAGACTCAATAAAGGAACCCAAATTAAATCATTCATTCATTCATCACCCAACTCCAATGGATTCTGGAAATGGCTGAGGTGGAAATTTAACAAGCTGTTTATTAATATCCCAAAGGCAACTGGATATTGTCTGGATATCAAGCCGCAATTGGACTTCCTTGTTTTTCCTTTGAAGACATTTTGCTTCTCATCCAAGAAGCCTCTTCAGCTTTGACTGATGGTGGGGAATGGAAGGATTTATATTCAATGCAAATGACCAGCTCTCTGCAAGTATAAATCCTTCCATTCCCCACCATCCAGTCAGAACTGAAGAGGCTTCTTGGATGAGAAGCAAAATGTCTTCAAAGAAAAACAAGGAAGTCCAGTTGCCAGAAAGCATTTTTGAGACAACCATGACCTGGATGACTAAGAATCTCCGTGGACTGATTATTAATACCAAACCTCAGTCCAGGTAGAGCAGGCACAGGCACAATTTGTGGCTTGATGTAAACCCAGCAGTGTTTCTGAATTACACCCAAGCATTCCTAAGACTCGGACCTTACTTACCTAAATCATCTCCAGAGGAGAAAACGGCAGAGCCTAGTCGGGAGCTGTAGTGACTGTTGGCAAAGGCTGTGAAGCTATTTTGAAGTCTTCGATGCCTCATGTACAGGACCACAAACCCAACGCCCACCATCACTAGTAGAAGAAATAAGACTGGTACCACGATGGCAGCAACATCCTTTGATTTGCCCAATATGGATGCAGTGGCCTCTCTATCTACAGAAAGGGGGAAAGGGTTGAACAGAGAAAAAGGGAAAAAGAGAAAAAGATGAAAGAACAGAGCTCACAGAGATTCAACTGATACCAAGAAATTCTCTGAAAAAGGTCAAAGTCTTTCTCAACATGCTTTGTTGAGCAGAAGACCTGATGTTGGCCAACTGGAAGAAATATGAATGTGAGGAAGGATCCAAACTCATGTCTCTCCCGCTCTGCTCTTCTGGGGGGGGGGGTCCAAACAGAAATGTGGGGGGAAAGCCAGAGATGGAGACATTCCCCCTACCTCTTCCCATCTCACTGAAGAGAAGAGTTGCAGGCTCTCCACACATCTGCCCAACATAGAGACATCTTGCTTGCACCGTGAAGGAGTAATTGTGGCCGGCCTTCAGGTGGGAAACCTTGAAGACGTTCTCTGTAGTATTCCCCAGGTACGATGTGGTATTGGTCCCACTGTCAAACATATGCACCTCATATCCCTGAAGGCAGAAAGAACACATTCATTTAAGGTGAACAAAAGTATTTAGAACAGTGCCTGGCTGAGGAATTCTGGGAGTTGAAGTCCATAAGTCATAATCTTTTATGGTTATGATGTTTGACATCTGTTAGAGGTCCTCTATTTGCTTTCATGTTGATGGCATTTCATTCTATTCTGATTTCTTTTACTCTGCAGCAGTGTTTCTCAACCGTGGCCTGATTGGTCAGGATGTGTGGACTTCAACTTCCTAAAGATGGATAGACTTCAACTGGATGTCTGGACCAACTCTCAGAATTTGGGAGAATTCTGGGAGTTAAAGTCCACAGATCTTACACTGCCAAGGTTGAAAAATATTGGTCTACATCAGGGGTCTTCAAACTTGGCCCTTTTATGACTTGTGGACTTCCTCAGAATTCCTCAGCCAGTGTGCCTGGCTGAGGAATTCTGGGAGTTGAAGACCACAAGTCATAAAAGGGCCATGTTTCAAGATCCCTGGTCTACAGCATAAAGTGACAACACTCCCTCTCCTGGCTTTCAGAAAACCTGGTGGAGTTTATTTGTTAAATGGCCCGTTTTGTTTTGTTTTGTTTTGTTTTGTTCTGTTGATGTTATTTATTAGATTATTTTAGTGTGGGCGAACTAAATTTCAAAAAGATTTAATGTTTTTGGTTGATTTTTTTTTCCATTTTATTTGCTGCCTAGAGTCCACTGGATTTGGGTGGCCAATACATTTAAACAATAATATTGCATTTGTGTATAATGTAGTTTTGTTTGGGCTTACTCTGTTACCTGAACTCTGACAATGTGGTCTGCAAAGCATGCTCTGCACAGATACTGTAGCCCTGTGCAATGTAAATAAACAATAAGCCACAATCCTGTCAATGCAAATAAACAATAAACTACGATTCTGTCAACTGTTGCTTGGTGCGTTGTGTGAACACAACCGGTTTGCACACGAACCTGGAAATCTTTTGCAGGAGTCAATTAAATGCAGCAGAGAGAGAAAGAGTGTCATTGTGACACAACTGTAACTTACCCGGCTTTCATTAAATTGGCTTTCTTTTAAGGCTAAACTCTTCCAAAACAACAAGATGTGGTCATTTTCTGGGATAATCTTTAAAGCGTCAGGCGCAGCCAAGGAAACTGTAACAAAAATTGGAGAGACAGGTGGATGTAGCAGGTCAATGTAATAGCAACTTCTTAATAAAATGCAGAAAAAAAGACCCATTGAATTCAATGGGGCATGCACTCCGGATGATGACAAGTTCAGCACTTACACCAAACACTCTTACCTGTGTTGATTTTCAAATTAGCTTCCTTGCTCATGTTTCCTAGCTGTATAACAATGTGGTATCTTCCACCAGGATCCAGTTTTTTGATAGTATATTCCACCGTGCTGTTTCGGGTCTTCACCTTATAGCTCCGATCTGTCTTTCTTATTAAATCTTTCACAGCTACTGCATACAGCTGGGGAGAAGCAGAGGTAGAAACTAGGACACGGGAGATGCAATGTTTCTTCCAACATCCAGTACGAAATATTGTATTCCAGTTGGAGCATCTTTTTAGACAGAGTCTTTCAATCTTGACAACTTTAAGAGGTATGGACTTCTACTCCCAGAATTCCCCAGCCAGCATGGCTGGCTGGGAAATTCTGGGAGTAGAAGTCCACGCAAGGTTAAAGGACAGTGCTTTAGGGAAACAGCGATCCATTGAGAGTTTGGCTGAAAAAGGCTAGATCCCTTCTAGGACAGTATTGATCTTGGATTAATTGACTAATTAGCCTTGGAATCAAAAGCTAGCATCCTATGTTGAACCATCCTCTCTGGCACTAGGCATAGGCCCAGGGTTCCATGTTTATGGATCAGTTCACCAAACCTGGACTGGCGTTGTGTGCCTTGTGAGGATCACAGACAACAACGTGAGATGCAGGCAAATCTGAATGTATCTGGTCCAGATTCTTGATGTCCTCAATACAATAATTCTGTTTAATCTATTAAGGCTAACCATGATCCAAAGTCTTCCAATTGGCGCTAACAAGATTGGACATATTTCCCATCCTTTCCAAAAGGAGAAAGTGCTGCACCAAGATCATGATCATAAGACCCCCAACCATATGTAGAGTCAACGTTGGGCCAAGCTTGGACTGGGGCAACCCTCTTACCATATCTTGGTCTGGGGAATCGTAAGGTGACTCCCATTTAATGATGGCAAATGTTTTTGATAGGTGGACAGCGTGAAGGTGCCGAGGGGGAAGGCGATTGTCAGGAATCATCTTCACAACAATGTAATCTGAAGGTGGTCCTTGGTAGGGAGAAATAACTCGCACCTGGAGGAAACGAGAAATCAGTAGAGCAATTCTTAATACCACTTTACAATGCCTTGGTAAGGCCACACTTGGAATACTGCATCCAATTTTGGTCACCATGAGGTAAAAAAGATGTTGGGACTCTAGAAAGAGTACAGAGGAGAGCAACAAAGATGATTAGGGGACTGGAGGCTAAAACATATAAGGAACGGTTGCTGGAAGTTATGTCTCGTCTAATGAAGAGAAGGACTAGGGGTGACATAATAGCAGGGTTCCAGTATCTCAGGGGCTGCCCTAAAGAAGAGAGAGTCAAGCTATTCTCCAAAGCACCAGAAGGCAGGACAAGAAGCAACAGATGGAAACTAACCAAGGAGAGAAGCAACCTAGAATTAAGGAGGAATTTTCTGAGAGTGAGAACAATTAACCAGTGGAACAATCTGCCTCCAGAAGTGGTGAATGCTCCAACCCTGGAAATTTTTAAGAGAAGACTGGACAGCCACTTGTCTGAAATGGTATAGGGTTTCCTGCCTGATGACCTCCAAGGTCCCTTCCATCGTCATCATCATCATCATCATTATTATTATTCACTGAAGCCACACTTCCTGAAAAGCACAATGTGGATTTTCCAGCTCACGAAGCATGGGCTGAATCTAACCAACATGACTGTTAGTTCTGGTTTAGCTTCTTTGCAAGCCCATGGTTTTCATTCTTTTATAACTTACCTTCCACCTACCACTCAATCAGAGAACTTGAATTCCACCATAATGGGAAGAAAAAAGCTCACTCTAAGCTAATAGAGCACGTTGGACAAATCATGGTTAAAGTATAGCTTAGCACAGTGTTTGACCCCATCCAGGTTAAAGCATACCAGAGGAACAACTTTCAAATCTCCTTTCTCAGTTAAGTTAACTGAATTGGGTTTTTGTAGAAACTGCCAACAAGAATGAATTGAAAGTCTATCCTTACCAGGAATAGATACTGCTCATCTCTGTTAACAATCACAGTCATGTTGTGGAGAGCTGTGGTTGCATTGCTAGGATTCCGGTAGAGTTCCAGGAAAGACGTGGCATAAAATATGCCATATATCTGCCGAGGGTGGAGAGGAAATAAGAAAGAATTAACAAACATGCTAATTCTGCTGTTCTGTGAATAACATCCCAGAATCCTTTAGGCCCAGGGTTTTCAAACATGTTTGGTCCATGGAACCTTTGAGTGGGAAAAAAAAAAGTTCCCAGAATCTCCTAATCCACAAAATGGCAGCCGTAGCATACAGATAGTCCTTGGTTTACAATCATACATTTACTGACCGTTTGAAGTTACAACAGTGCTGAAATAAGTGATCTATGACTGTTTTTTACCCTTATGACTGTTGTAGCATCCCTGCGATCCAAATTCAGACCCTTGGCAACTGATTCATATTTATGACGGGGGCAGTGTCCCGGGATCCCCTTCTGTGACCTTCTGACAAGCAAAGTCAATGGGTAAGCTGGATTCACTTCACAGTTGCAGTGGTTCTTGCTGCAGTTGCAACTGCAGCAAGAAAGGTTGTAAAATGGGGCAAAACTCACTTAGCAACCGTCTTGCATAGCAACAGAAATTTGAGGCTCAGTTGTGACTGTTAAGTCAAGGACTACCTGTAAAACTTTTTTTTTCCCCAGGAAACAAGACCGATCCTTTCCATTTGATGGATCCTCTCTTTCACAAGTCTCTTAAGAACATCATCTGGTTTTGACGGAACTCCAGAACACGGTTCTAAAAACACTTTGTTCCTCCCTCCCTCCCCATCAAGAAAGCGACAACTCTCAACCACATAAAGAACCACAGATCTTCAGCGCATGGGATGAATGGAAGAAGTCTCATTTTTACCACATTCCTTGGCCCGCTCCAGTTGCATTCAACGGCCGTCTGGTTGACCGCTTTGGCCTTCAGGCTGGGGGGGAAGGGCCTTGTGCCGCGGGTCACCACGTGTGCGAAAGAGAGCGGGCTGTCCCCCAGTTCCGTCTTAGCCCAGGCAGAAATTTCATACGGTGTCTGAGCAGTCAGGTTCCTCACTGGGGGAAGGAAAAAAAGGGGAATTAGTTGGAGACACGTACCCTGTCTTTCCTCGAAAAGAAGACCCAGCCGCAAAATAAGTCCTAGCCTGATTTTTTTCAGGATGCTTGTAATATAAGCCCCACCCAAAAAATAAACCCCAGTTAAGATCCTCAACCAGGCTTAGTATCATATTTCCCCTAATATAAGCCCTAATGCATCTTTTCGAGCAAAAATTAATATAATTATATTAATATATAAAATGAATATAATACCACGATAGATATCGCTTCCTGCACTGCCAAAGAAAAGAAAGGTTTGAAGAGGAGCCATAAACAAAATGTGCAACCCATAGAGCTTTCTATATATATATATATATATATATATATATATATATATACTGGCAGTCCTCAACTTAGATGACTCATTTAGCGACCAAAGTTATGACTTACCTGGAAAAAGGGAGCTGTGACCTGGTTCCAAACTTCTGATGATGCCCCCCCAATCACATGATCTGCCCTTTGGGTGCTTGGCCCCAGGGTTTCATTTTCAGCTGTGGGCAGCATGCCACAGTGACACGAGTTCCTTTTATGACGGGTTTTGCAGAAAAACCAGATGTTCCTTCGAGTTTTTGGCAAAATCAGGGTCACAGTGAACAATAGATTTGTTTAATGACTACCGTGTTCATTTCATGACCGTGGCGTTCGCTTAATGACTGCTGCAAAAAAGTTGCAAAATCGATCATGACTTTGATTTACGATGGTCACAACATACAACCGTAATGGGCAGCTCCATTATAGTCCTATGTTGAGGTCTGCCTCTATGTATGTGTGTGTATAGACAGATAGATAGATAAGAGATAGATAGATAGATAGATAGATAGATAGATAGATAGATAGATAAGAGATAGATAGATAGATAGATAGATAGATAGATAGATAGATAGATAGATAGATAGATAGATGATAGATAGAGATAGAGATGTGATTGATCAGTGATGGCGAACCTTTTAGAGACCGAGTGCCCAAACTGCAACCCAAAACCCACTTATGCATCGTCAGGTGCTGGGTAGGTGTGGCCCATTGGCTGGGTGTGGCTGCAGTGGTAACAATAGACCGGGTGGGACTAAAAAGTTCAATCAATCAATTCCAACTTTGCAAGATCTTTTTTTTTTCCCATGAGAAGTTGAAATTGACTGATTGATTGAACCTTTTTTTTTTTTTTTTTTTTTTGCACATGGCAGCGGAGGCCTGAAGCGAAAAGGTTTTATAAAACCTAGCTGAAGGCCTAGGACTGGGGCGACGGTGCGCGTGCCCACAGAGAAGGCTCTGAGTGCCGCCTCTGGCACCCGTGCCATAGTTCGCCACCACTGTGATAGATCGATAGATCAATAGATATGTTATAGATAGATAAATATATAGATAGATAGATCGAGAGAGAGAGAGAGAGAGAGGGAGGGAGGGAGGGAGGGAGGGAGGGAGGGAGATTGGGGCAAAATAAACAAAGATATCTATCTATCTATCTATCATCTATCTATCTATCTATCTATCTATCTATCTATCTATCTATCTATCTATCTATCTATCTATCTATCTATCTATCTATCTCTATATCTGTATCCCCTGCATTGTTATATACTTGCCTTTGAGCACAATAAAACTATTTGATTCCATGGCTAAGGTTGGATTGGGGACTGGATCTCCGTGTTCTCTGGTAATTTTGCTCAGGTAACCTTACCTGTTTGGGCCGACTTCCCTCCATCTATAAAGAATGATCTTTTTTCTTGTCGGTGGGTGTCAAAAGTCCAGAAAATTTTCACGACGTAACCGTTCACCTGTCAACCAGCAATATGAGATGGACAAGACAGACAAATAAATAACTGATCAATTTGGTTTGGTTTTACACGAGTGGAAGAAAAGGGCCCTGTCAACAAAAGGCAATTATTATTTTTTAATAAATGAGAACCTTTATAAAAGCTGTTTTGAGAATACGGAAATATTATGATTGTGAAAAAAGGGATGAAGACAAGGAGGTCTAACTTCTCCAAACTGCTCCAGGGCCGGGCTAAACAGAATTAGAATTCAGGTGAAATCAGGGAGGAAAGCCAATTTTGGCTAATTAGATCCTGGCCTCAATAATGTATTTATGTAGAATTAGTATAATTAAGCATTCTTCTTCCCAGGAATTGTAGACTGGTACTACAAACAAACCAAAAAAAAAACTGCACACACACACACACACACAAACACATACTAGATAATTTCTCTCCTACCCTTCCCAAAATTCCAGTTTTATTTTTATTTCTGATTGATCCCTCTTAGGAAAGGTATTGAGGGTGCAGCACTTGGGAACCAACCGTACAGATCGTTAAAAGTAGCCATTAAAAATAAAAAGAATATATCTCACCTGAATATTGGCGTCTAGTCTGAGGGTGAAGCTTATGGAGTTTTCATCGTAATTATCGATGTGGATCGTTGGAGGAGGAATCACTGGATGCAGTCAAAGGAGAGAAAGGAAGAGACATGAGATTGAACATGGATAGATAAGCAGACATCAGGAGACTCCAATTAACTGGAAGGACATCCCATGGATGACCAGCCAACTCTATTTAATGTGCTCTTTCATGGACAATAGTTCCTTTTCAAGTCCTCAACTTATTATCAGGCGCTTAACAACCCTACACAGTGGACATCCCACTCCACCCCAAAGCTACTTAAAACCCATTTTCGAAGTGACACAGTTGGCAATACACATGTACATAGTCACACAATCACATTTAAGGTGACAACCAACTCACTTTTACAGTTTTACATGACTCTGTGTTTTTCAGCGTTCTTTTGCCGATTTCCAGCATTTACTTCCAGTTTGACTCCAATGGGTTTGCTTAAACCCCCACCCCACCATGTTTGCTTAAGGACTGCAGTGTTTGCTTAACAACCACAGCAAAAAAATTGGGTCCGGCCATGTGATACAACTTACAACCACGGTGAGTTATGATCATAATTCTGGGTTTAATCATGTTCCCATGGCGAGGAACATCTGTAATTCATGCACTGGTATATAACTCAATAGCAGGATATAACTGGCCTATGGTGGGAAGGTGTGCTTCCAATTTAAATACATACCGTGTTTCCCTGAAAATAAGACCGGGTCTTATATTAATTTTTTGCTCCAAAAGCCGCATTAGGGATTATTTTCGGGGAAATATGGTACTAAATGTGTCTGTCTGGCTGACAATCTTAACTGGGGCTTATTTTGGGGTGGGGCTTATATTATGAGCATCCTGAAAATTATGCTAGAGTTTATTTTCCAGTTGGGTCTTATTTTTGGGGACAGTATACAAATAGTACATATACATATAATACATATACATATATACATATACATATAATACATATACATATGCATATAATACATACACATATATACATATAATCATATACACATCATATACATATATGTACATATGTACGTGTATGTGTATGCATATATCTATATGTATTTAAAGTGGCACCATAGGGCAGTTGTATCCTGAAATTAAGTAAAGCATCTCTTTGTGTGTCAGCTCAAAGATGGGTGATTTCATGGACACGATGGGCTTTGGGGCAACCATGTGGAAGTGCTTTCTACCGCATTGCTCAAGGAGGTCCTTCTCTGTCACAGCTCTGGGATCCCTCTCGTGCAAGTCAAAGCCGAGGCAGATCTCCTGAGCTTTTGGAGACCAGCCAGACTTGAATAGCTGCTGCCATCTAGCTGTGTTTACCAACCTCGGTGTCTAGTGCAACAAAAGAATTCAAGAAATTAATCCTGGAAAGGTTTTACCTTTGCCTTTTATAGTTCGTATGGATTTGGAATCGCTCCAGTTGCCCACGCCACGGCTCGTTACTGCAGCAACCTTTTCCAAACAGAAAGCTTGTTAAAATAGGCAGGAGAATTTCCCTCGGTAAAATAGCTCTTTTTTAAAACAAACAAACGCCAAGGAAGTTTAAAAGTGAACGGCAAGGAGGAGAGGGAGGAACAAATGACATATTTGCTGTTATTCTGAAGGAAATGCCAAGTGCTCAAAAACAGAATTATTCTACCCTCTCCTGAAGGGATAGGGACTATAAAACCCAGTATTCCCAGCCAATACAACTCAAAAGCTTCGGGAAGGCCACTCCCCAAAAGCCAGAAGACTTCTGCCAAGTGATGGATCCCAACAGCCGTGAATAGACCAGAGTGGTGGCCAGGTGGACCTTGGGCTGAAGGATCTCCAGATCCACAGGAAAACTGTGGTGGAGGAAGGTGGTGATCGCTAAGCATGCAGAAGATTCCCAAACAACTATGGGTTATTCTCAGCAAAGGAACCACCCAAGATGTCTCCATCAAGGAAAATGTTTAGAGAAGAACAAAGACAGAAAGATTCTTGCTTGGTACAAGAAATCTGGAAGACATTCTCAGAAGAAGCTTCTACAAGGACATTCCTCCCCTAGTTAACTGGCTCCATTGTTAAACAATCCTGATAGTTGAGGTTCCATCAGAATCTGTCCTTTGATTGGCTACATTACACTGAATCCACTGCCCTTTAAATATCTGTTCTTTTTGGGACAACAGAAGAATAGCAATCTCCTAGTTCTACAGGCCAAGATCAGTTGATGCTCATAGAGGTCTAATAAAACATCTACTCACTCTGAAAACGTATAAGGCGTTGACTTGCAACATCTCAACTTCTGAATAGTTGGTGGGAGCCCTCACAGAAGACCACTCCTTTGATCCAGCTCTGCTGTATTCCACCTACCAGGATGGAAAAACAGGGACAACCATCTAATTGCTAAAGTCGCCTTCAGCAGGCTAAATCTTTAAGATGCCCTGACCTCAAATGAAAGGTTTGAATCTGCAGGTTTGACCTTGTATATTTGTGGAGCGAAACTGCAATTGAGTAAGATCACTGGAGGTAAAATGGTGCCCCTTATACCTGAATGCCTGTTAAAATCAATTCTCATCATTGGGGTCAGCTTATCTCAAAGTACACTGAGATACTTACAACATATTCTCTGATTAGACCATGGGCATTTGCGGGAGGGGCCCATTGGCAAACCACAATGCCTTCAGCTTCTTTCTTCAGCTGCAGTTGAAGATGGCAGGGGGGATCTGGAACTGGAGAGAGAGAAAGAGAAAGAGGGAAGGAGGAAGGAAGATGAGTAGGTAAGTAGTCCTGTTGGAGCAAGCCAGGAACTGATCAATCCCAGATTTCTGTATCTCTTATTGGCCAACCAGATGCATGAAATTCAGGAGCTTGAAGAATAGAGCAACTTGTCTCCTTGCCCTGGTGGTACCCAGCCCTAGTGTGTCTAGTCGGCAGTGTTTGGGGTCTAGTTTGTAGACCCCCAAAAGCTATCAACTCTGACAGCCATTGAGAGCCCATTCTTCTACGCATCCTTCTTTGGTAAAAAGGACAAGACACCCGTGAGTCAAGCATGGCTCTCCAACTGAATGATCTCCTTGCAGTTGCAGAAATTAAACAATTCAACCACCCTTTCTACATAATGCTACAGACACATGCCCATCAGATGAAGAAGGTAGAAAGAAATGGGATTCACAGCCTTGAGAAGGTTGAAAGGGACTGTTCCTTCTGTATCTTTCCAGAATGCAGAACGTGGAACAGTGATCTTGAGGGACAGATTTTGCTTGAAAATTAGGAAAAATGAAGAAGGTAGAAGGTTCCCAACAGCAAGAGTGGCTTGGAAGGAATCAACGTCCCAGAAGGGTTGGTGGCCTCTATTTGGTTGGAGAACCTCAATCAACATCTGTAGGATAAGGTGATTTGGGATTCCTGCCCTGAACATCTAACATTTAGAGATCATTTATAGAGCAAGAGATCTTCTCCTCTGTAATTAAATACTTGGGCCCAAGCAATATGAGTTTTTACCCCACCTTTATCCCATGCGGGCTGTGAAGAAATGGACTCGCTTACGTCCTTCAGGGGTCCGTAAGACTATGAAATCGTTGGTGTTGTATACTTTGCTCAGGCACTGGACCTGGACCTTGACTTGATAGGTGCAATCTGGCTTCAGTACTTTCAAGATGGTGTTGGTTTTGCTACTGTGGGTTTCCACCGATTTCCACATGCTTTCTCCCACCATCCTAGATTTGGGAGTGGACCAAAAACCACAACATCACTGTGGCGGAGTGATTGACAGGCAGTTTTTGAAACTATTCCATGCATGCATCAATCATTTGTCTTGATAGTGTTAGAAATACATTTAATTCCATCCGTGTTTGGGTCCATGCACGCTAAGCATCAATAGGACTAGAGTGTGACTTAGTGTGTTGTATGAAACCAGCCACTTTTAGGTTCCTCAGGAAAACGCAGTTACGTAGGAGCACATTCTAATGTGCAAATCAGGTCAGTGAAACGTCAACATTGGTAAAGGACACAGCTCGATTCTGCTTTCTCACCCCTTGAATTCCCACCAAGAAAAGCTAATTTAGGAGCTGCACAGAGTACCGTACAATTTGCTGCATATGCCATGAATGGAATAGCAATTGTACTAATAAGAGGTTCTATGTTAGCACACGGGGCCTAATTTTAAGCCTGCAGTCAAGCTCCCTGATGTCAGGAGTTGTTAGCAAGAATGCTAAAATCAGACAGTCTACCTGTAGTAGATATTGTAGACACAGGAAGAGAGAGGCATCTTCTTCGGCTGAGCCCAGGATAAAGTGATGTTGCCTAAAAAGTCAGCTGTCCACTGAAGGTTCTGAACCTTATAGACAAGAGTATCATCTATGTAAAAAAAAATATATATATGAAAGAATTCCTGACTTTGATTAGGACTGGAAAGAAGGGATTGAGATTATCACCACCTCTGTGCAGAAACAGTGTTCTGGGCTAAAGGTTCCTTCCTTCCTTCCTTCCTTCCTTCCTTCCTTCCTTCCTTCCTTCCTTCCTTCCTTCCTTCCTTCCTTCCTTCCTTCCTTCCTTCCTTCCCTTCCCCTTCCTTCCTTCTTTCCTTTCTTCTTTCCTTCCTTTATCTTCCTTTCTTCCTTCCTCTATCCTTTTTTCCTCCCTCCCTCCCTCCCATCCATCCATCCATCCATCCATCCATCCATCCATCCATCCAATCCATTTACATACTATGCACTCCTTGCATACAGGCCAGTCCACAGCAGCTAATACAACCGATCACCAGGACCCAAACTTTGGCAAAGGTAGTCCTCAACGTATGACTACAACTGAGCCCAAAATTTCTGTTGTTAAGCGAGACATTTGTTACGTGGGTTTTGCCCTGTTTTACGACCTTTCTTGCCACACTTGTTAAGTGAATCACTGCAGTTGATAAGTTAGTAACCCGGTTGTTGTTGAGTGAACCTGGTTCCCCCCCCCCCTTGGCTTTGCTTGTCAGAAGGTCACAAAAGGGGATCACATGACCCCCTCCGGGATCTGCAACGGTCATAAGTATGAAAAATGGTCCTAAGTCATTTTTTTTCAGTGCCGTTGTACCTTCAAACGATCACTAAGTGAACTGTGGGTAAGTCAAGGACTTCCCATATTATCCTTATAAATTGTGCTTGGAGATTCTTCTTAAAGGTTAATGATGGAGGGGCTACATTCAAGAGAGTTGGATCCACCACCCCCCAAATGATTGGCAACTTAGTTGAGTTCAAGTGGGCTTCTGCCCAAGTTGCACAGATCAACGGCCACAGCTGAGCTCCCGACCTCGCTTCCTCCGTGGCCCCTTCCCCACAAACGCCCCCAAATAAAAACAGAATAGTTCAATCCGTTCCTAGTCTTTCCCCTGATCCACTAAATTCTCTAATATCAGCTTCCCTGCCCTTGGGACACGGCTTCAAAGCAGTTGAGCGCCGCTCTTTTAAAATTCCAGCCAGGTGGACGTTTTCCACGTTGTGGTGGGTGGACAGAACCTGGGCAGACTTCTCCCAATCAATATTTAATTAAAGACTGATGGATGCTCAATGACCCTTCCTGCTTGGGGAGGAAGGGGGCTGCACGGCCGCATGGGAAGAGATATGCTGTCAAACGGAATGGGCGATCGATGGCCATTAATGGCGATGTTATCTCAGCCATAATGAATCGAGGGCTGGAGTTTTGCTGACGGAACAAGCAGAGTAGAGGCAGAGGACGATGGGAGCAAGAAACACCTGGGGGAAAAGCCACCGTGAGACAGGCCTTCTGAACTGGGCTCCACCCACCAGCCTCATTGGATGGGAAACAGGTAGTCCTCTACGTACGACGACAATTGGGGATTGAAATTCCAGTCGTACGTCACCGAGGTGGTTAAGTGGTGGCAGCACACGACCGGACCCAAACCGACCATTTTTATGGCAGTTGTTAAGCCAAGTCACTTAATAACTGTCTCAGAGAAGGTCATAAAATGGGGCAAAACCTGCTTAACAACTGTCTCGCTTAATCACAGAAATTTTGGGCTTAGCTGTGGCCATAAGTCGAGGACTATTTGTATTGGGTAGTCAAATATCTTCACCAAGTTATAGAACTTTTAATTCGATAGGACATTTTATTGTCCTATTATTTTTTTCCCCTTCCCCTATAACAAACTGTTGTGTCGTACGATTTCTCTTTTTCCCTGTACATTTTTTTTAATGAAAAGGCTGGTTAAAGACCATAATAAAGCTATTGGATTGGATTGGATTCCACTGGCTTCATTGTTTTCGGATTTTTGTTTACATGTCAGGACTTACCAGTACAGTTCTTTTCATCGCTGCTATCTGGACAATCCAGAAAACCGTCACATCGTTCCATCTTCATGATGCAGGCCTCCCCATCTTCACATCTGAATCCACTAGGGCATAACAAGGTGCTGTGAGTCGCTGGAAGACAGAAAAATATGCAACACTGCCATCTTACAACAAGTAGATGGGGAGGATCTACTTAGTTGCCTCGCGTTAAGTAATCTTGCCGTCTTTTGAATAGTAGAAGTATTCCTGAATTTTGGTGCCATTGCTTTTCCTGAAAGCCTAGTAGATCTTTAGCCATCACGATTGTTGGGTTTGTTCTGTCATAACCAACCAATACTATGGTCATGTATGGGCTACTTGAATCAAATTAATGGAGAAATGAACTACCGTGGTTTACTCATCACCACTGGGTTTGTCCATTCATGACCAACCAGTTTTGTACCATCTAATTCAGGGATGGGGAACGATGACCCTTTTATGACCTTTGGACTTCAACTCCCAGAATTCCCGAGCCAGTCATGCTGGCTCAGGAACTCTGGGAGTTGAAGTCCACAAGTCATAAAAGGGCCATCATTCCCCAACTCTGATCTAATTGAATCAAATTAATGGAGAAATGAGTTACCATGGTTTATTCATACAATTATTAGGTTTGTTCATTCATGACCAACCAACATTATGGTTTTGTACATCTAACTGATTCAAATTCATGGAGAAATGAGCTACCGTGGTTAACCAATCACAATTGTTGGTTGTTTTTTTCATTCATGATCAACCAATGTTAAATTTGTGTAACATCTAATTGAATCAAATTAATGAAGAAATGAGCTTACTATGGTTTATTCATACAACCGTTGGGTTTGTTCATGACTGGTTAACATGGTTTTGTATGATGCGTTTGATCCCAGTTAATGGTGAAATGAGCTACCATTATTTAATCACCACAACTGTAGGGTTTGTTCATTCATGACCAACCAACATTATGGGTTTGTATGATCTGTTTGAACCCAATGAATGGAGAAACGAGACACTAGTTGTGAGCATCAAAGATACACGGTCATTTTTCAGGAAGGCAAAACCAATGGTACGGATTGGAAGCCATTCCAGAGGGTTCCCAGCATTGTCTGGCAAGAGAAGACGGCAAGGGAAACTCCTGGGATAGCAGGAATCTTTCACAGAGTTCCCACTAAAACCAACAAAGACTTACGGCAGTTGAGTTCATCCGTGCCGTCTTGACAATCTTTCAAGCCATCGCAGCGTTTCCAATTTGGGACACACTTCTTGGTCTGCTGGCACTCAAATTCAAAGCGGCTGCAACGTCCATGGACACTGGCAGACGTGGAACTGGCACCGACAGCTGGGTGGGCAGAAGGTGGAAAAAAACATCAGAAGCTATAGAGATACTATTACCCTGCTTCATTAGAGCAATGTTTCTCAACTTCAGCCATTTTAAGATTTGTGGCCTTCTACTCCCAGAATTCTACTGCCAGCCATTCTGGGAGTTGAAGTCCATACATCTTAAAATGGCCGAGGTTAAGAAACATTGCTCTGAACACATCATCTTTGAAAGCTGTTAGTAAACTTCTGGGAAATTCTGGGAGTTGACCCATACATCTTAAAATAGTCAAGGTTGAGAAACACTGCGTTAGAAGCTAGCTTCCTTGGGCTACAATTTATTTTTGTAGGCAAAGCCAGTTCCTTTGCTTCCCATACCACCAGATGGCAGCCTGAATCTGTTGGGACAGGAGAAAACTTGACTGCAGCTTCCAAACCATGATCTGATCCTTCTTAATACTAAATCTGATCCATCAGAAGCTGGTGCACTCAGTCACATCTGGGCTGGCTACTTCAGCAAAAAGGATGCCTTCCCCATCCAATCAAAGCAGAGATGTTCATGTAGCATTCCTTTAAGGAATTGGTCCTGCAAAAGGACCTTTCCATGTTTGAAGATGTTCGATCATTTTACATGGGACCTTAGCCAGGTTGTCCTCTACCAATTGGCCCCAAGAGTTTTTCCAAATTTGGTATCCCTGAGATATACTGGACTTGGTCTCCTCCTTCTCCTGCCCACCCCAAACCCACCCTCTTCTAGCACTGAAGATGTTCCCTAGTTGGGTAATGAAACTTCTGGAAGAAAACCGCCAAGCTCACAGACTAGTAAAGACCCCACAGTCCTTCCTCCTCCTCCCAGTATAATATGCAAATTGATCCATATGGACTTAGTGCATAACCAGGAGTTGTGGTTAGTTGTCTGCACAGGCCAAGCCACTAATGCTTGTTCCTCAACCCCTTGCTAAAAAATCCGGTCTTAGTATTATGAGTGAACGTAGCATATCTCCAGTGGCTACAGGTTGCTAACCGATGGCACTGGAAAGCAAGTTAATCATCTTCCAAGATTCCTGGAAGTTGGCTTTTCTGTGCCTCCTCCCTATTGTTGGAACATCTGGCAGCTCTTAGGCTTTCTCCATCCTAACATGAATGATGCAATTTGTGTCATTTGCGCAATGGTGTGAGGTCATTCCCCCCCTCCCTTTTCTTGCCCAGCCCACTAAAACCGATGTCTAGCAAAGGGTGAAAGGAGCAAGCCCAAAGAGAAGGGCGCCTTACGTGCAGTGGGGCAGGCCTCCTCATCGGATCCATCAGCACAATCTCGGTATCCATCGCAAACCCAGCTGTTCATGATACACGTCCCGCTATTACACCGGAAGTGATTTGGGGCACACGTGGCAGGAGTTGCCGTGGTGATGGCGATGACTGCAGAGCCTAGATTTCAACCAGATCAACGTCAGAGTAGAACCTCAATGTAGGCCAGTCAAGAAACTGGGGATTCCAAGAATGCTACTTTATTGTTGTAGAGCTGGGGTCTCTAAACTTAGCAACTTTAACACTTATGGACTTTAACACAGAGATTTCCCCAGCCTACATGGCTGGCTCGAAGTCCACAGGTTGTAAAGGGCCCATAGTTGCCCACCCCTGACCTAAACCATCCAGATTAGTGTCCCATGTCCAAAACCAGGACAGCCAAAGCAAGACATTGAGATTCATCATAATACTATTTCTCCATTATTTATCCCCAAACTTCTCTTGAGAAGATTGCTTCTGCTGGGGTCTTTGCACAGACTGCTCTTCCCAAAGAGAAGGCTACAGCCGATCAGCAGGCAGGTACTTCACCTGTCTGGACAAGGGCAGCAAACAGGGTGCCACAAGATTCAATCCTGGGCCTTTCTGCTTCCAAAAATGTATACATGACATAGATTGGGGTGCGGGGGATGTCTCCAAAGTTGGCAACTTTAAGACGTGTGGATTTCATCTCCCAGAATTCCTCATGCTGGTTGACAAGTTTGGGGAACTCTGATTTAAAAGGTGGGGATGGGGGGATTTTTTTAAAATTCAAACTTGCAATGAAACAAAGCCAATACTACGCATGAGAGAAATACAATCAGAAGGATCCTGACAGATTTTATCCGTGGAATGCGACGGTTTTTGCAACAGTCATTTATTCGAAACAAAATGTAAGTGAATAGCAGGACGCTGTGGCCAAAAAGGCAAATGCAATTTTAGTTCTGCATCTACAAAAACACAGTTCCCAACCCCAGGGCCTCACAAGACGAACTCTGTGCAACTGGAAAAGAGCTCTCTCTCTCTCTCTCTCTCTCTCTCTCTCCCTCTCTCCCGCCCTCTCTTCCTCTCCCTCCTTCTCCCTCTCTCTCTCTCCCTCTCTCCCCCTTTCTCCCTCTCTCTCTCCCTCCCTCTCCCTCTCTCCCTCCCTCCCTCTCCGTCTCTCTCCCTCCTTCTCCCTCTCTCCCTTTCTCCCTCTCTCTCCCTCCCTCCCTCTCCCTCTCTCCCTCCCTCCTTCTCCCTCCCTCCCTCTCCCTCTCTCTCTTACCCCCACACGACTTCTCATCCGACCAATCGCCACAGTCGTTTTCTTGATCACACTTCCATCGGTTGGGGATGCAGTGGCCATTGTCACACTGGAACTGGAAGTACCGAGAACAGCTGGGGGCTTCAGTTGGGTTTTCTAGCCAGGACAAAATATTCCCAGTTAGTTTTCACCACCTTAAATGCTGAGGGTGTACAGGTAGACCACAACTGAGCCCACATTTTCTGTTGTTAAGTGAAACATTGGTTAAGCTTTGCCCTATTTTCCAACTGCCACAGTTCTTAAGTGAATCATCAGAGTTAAGAAGTTAGTAACATGATGGTTAAGTGAACCCGGCTTCCCCCATCGACTTTGCTTGTCAAAAGGTCACAACAGGAGATCAATTGACCTTGGGACACAACGGTCATAAATATGAGTCAGATGCCAAGCATCCGAATTTTGATCACATGATCATGGGGATGCTGCAACGGTCATTAAGTGTGAAAAACGGTCATAAGTCACTTTTTTCAGCGCCATTGTAACTTTGAACCGTCCCTAAATGGAGTGTTGTATAGGTCGAGGACTAACTGTAGTTGTTTTCTGAAATTAGAACAAAGCAAAACTGCATGGACTTATAACCACAATGGCAACAGAATAGTATCCTCCATGTAATGGTGTAATTGTACAGATTACGTGGCTGGATGATGAGGTCATGATACGTGCCGTGATTCATTTCCCACACCCACAATGTCTCCTTTCCTTCTAGGGCAGGGGTAGGCAACCTTGGCTCTTTTATGACTCGTGGACTTCAAATCCCAGAATTCCTGAGCCAGCATGGCTCAGCATGGAAACCTCTCCCTTTCCTCTCAGCATGGCTGGCTCAGGAATTCTGGGAGTTACAGTCCACGAGTCATAAAAGAGCCAAGGTTGCCTACCCCTGTCCTAGGGGAACATTCTCCACTCACCACAGTTTGCCTCGTCCGAGTAATCTCCACAATCATCGGTGCCGTCACATTTCCACACCAAGCTGACACACACGCCGTTCTGACACTGGAAGCTGAACTGGTCACAAGTGCGATGGAACTCTGGATCCTGGGCTGCAAGTAACATAGCTCTTGTTTAGGAAAGGGAAATTCCACAACCCTGGAAATCCCATTTTCTTAGCAGCTTCACTTACAACACCCGGCATAGGCGGGATCTTCATCCGAGCCATCGCGGCAATGCACGGTGCCGTCACATACCATGGAGCGCAGCAGGCACTGTTGCCGGTTCTTGCACATGAAATCCATGTAGCGTGTACAGAGGGATTCTCCAGAGTGGCAGGAAGGAGAGAATAAACATTGGGAAAGAAAGTTTTACAGGTAGTCCTTGACTCACAAGCAGAACTGAGCCCAACATTTCAGTGGCCCAATTTGCTCTAAGTGCCCCAAATTTTGATCATGTGACCAAGGGGATGCTGCCAGAGTCGTAAATATGAGGACCAGATACAAGTTACTTTCTTCAATGCTATTGTCCTTTCAAAACAGTCCCTAAATTAAACGGTGGTGAAGTTGTAGGACTACCTGTACATGCAGAGTGAAACGAACAATTGCAAATGCCAATTAAAAGTTGTTCTCCAATGTCTGGGAGTTAGTTTCCTTTCTGGTTTCCCAGCCACCCCCCAGTCACCCTGGCTACAACATTCACGCACTCCAGTACACTCACCACAGTGTTGTTCATCTGAGCCATCCGAACAGTCCCGTGCCCCATTGCACCGCTTGCTAGAAGGGATGCACACCCCCGTTGAGCACTGAAAACCGTTGCATTTCTTCTCTGCCAACCAATCCCACAAGGAAGCAAAGAAAGCAAACTTAAGTTTTAAATACATGAGACTCCCAGCAAACCTAGAATGAACGTCTCTGGTTTTCACCAAAGCAACGAGAACTGGATAGAGGGCGATGAGGCGGCTGGGGAAATTACTTCTCACATGGTCAGTGAAGACTCAATCTTCCAGGCCAAAAATATCTAAAAGGTTAAATCGTAGCAACTGGACCAACGTTTGTTAATCTGAGACCTTCCGTTGCTCATCCAAGCAACTTCATCAGTCAAAATAAAAATTAGAAGTTGGTAAGTTAAGAGTTGGTACATTCCGATGACTCTCTGTCTATCTAATTTTTATTTTGACTGATGAAGTTGCTTGGATGAGCAACAAAATTTTGGTCTAGTTGCTATGATTTAACCTTTTAGATATTCTCACATGGTACCAGATCTGGCGACCACCCAATGCAAGAAACAGATGGAAACTGCCTCTCTCCATCTACTCACCCACCTACCCAAAAGAGAAATGTCTTTAGCCATTGACACAGAAGAGGCACAAGAGACTTGAACATTGATTGTATAAACAGTGCTCCCATTTGATATGCTGGAATTCTTGTAGCCGCATCTTGGTCTTGCTATAATAAAGCATCTTATTAAAAGTTCTAGACTTTCTGATGAATTGATCTAGTTTATTAGGAGATGTTTGACCGTAGTCTGTGTTATGAGAAAGTTAAAAGTCAAAGTGAAAGAGAGTTTGCCTATATCTAAAAAGTCCATTACCACAACTGACGGGGTCTTCGTCCGTTCCATCTTGACAATCCATATCTCCGTCACAAGCCCATCTTTGGGGGATGCAGTGCCCATTTTGACAGCGGAAACTGGAGGCTTCACAAGTGTGATGAACAGCTAAAAGCAACACAACACAAATGGTTGACTTACTCTGGGAGCCTTGGTGCTCTCTGAGTTTGGTTGTTTTCTTGCAGATGTTTCTTTATCCAACTAGGCAACATCATCAGTGTTGACTTACCGGCATGGAGGGACCAAAGCAGGAAAGAAGGAAGGGGAGGGGAGAATGTGGAAATCAAGATAACAAACCCCTTCTGGCTACACACCATCTCCAGTGACCCTGCCAATGAGGGATCAGTCGTCCAGCCCAAAGGCAGACTTCGAAAATGAGTTAACTCAGTCACCCAATGTAATCGGTTGTCTGAATGCAACCAAGCTAAAGATAGCTGTAGGCCACCAGCTGTGTTTGCAAACCACAGCAGCCTGGAAAAAGAAATTTAGCGGGCATGGCTGAGCTGTCTTAAACGCTGAAATGATTGTCCTTCATATTGTTGGGTAACAAGAATACACTCCTGCTGTATTGGATCAGGTCAAGCTGACCATCTCAGCCTGTCAGGCAGGAAAATCCTTAGGAAAATTCACAAGAAAAGCTGAAAAGTGACAGGCTTGCCCTGCTGTGTGTCCCAAGGCTTACGAAGCTGACTTTGATCTTCACTAGAACAGCCCCTGGCAAACCGCGCGCTCTTTCTCCGCTTGCCCAAACCTTCTCCTCAAACCAGCAGTCAAAACATATTTGTGGCTGTAAATCCCACCACTAACTAATGCTTTCTGCAAAGAAAAGAGGCTTTTCCCTGCCCAGCATCAATTGATGGGGTATTTTTTTTTAAAAAAAAAAAAATATTGTGCAATTCTAATAAGTGACATATAGTGCTGTCCTTTTTCACAAGCCCCTGTATTTTTCCGAACCCCTGCTCTATCCAAAACATGATTCTAAAGAGCAGTGGTTCTCAACCTTTTTAATGCCGCGACCCCCAACCGGTCATAAGTTGAGGATACTCAACCAGTTGTAAGTCAAGGACTACTACTGCAGCACCATTTGCAGAATGGGACTTTTGGCGGGCTCAGCAGGGCAGAGACAGCCTGGACAATTCCTATTGGCTTTTGAAAGCCAATAGAATTAGACTCTATTCAAGAGAGTCTATTCTATTGGCTTTCAAAAGGCAATAGAATAAAAGGGAGTAGCACAGCTAAGGAAAAGGGGGAAAAAATGGCGGACTGCGTTGTTTGGCGACCCCCGTGAAATGGTCGTTCGACCCCAAATGGGGTCCCGACCCACAGGTTGAGAACCACTGCTAAAGAGCCACGTTTTTCTTCTTGTTGTTTTTAAAATAGGAGTTATAGAATGTAATCCTAAAAACCTTAAAGCAGGGGTGTCCAATCTTGGCAACGTTTAAGACTTGTGGACTGCCTTAAAGAACCTCAAATTTTGCTGGAAATACAAAACTGAGTAGCTCTGAGTATCAAACAACCATCCCTGTTTTTTCAGCGGTTCTGGCACTTTCATCTTAGTTTCATTATATACTTGAGATCTGTTTTTATCAGGAAAGAAAATCAACTTCACCACCCTAGTTAGGTTCTCTGCTCCTTATACCAGCATGAGAGAATGACATGTTTTTTACAACATTCCAAGCTGTTATGCTCTTCTGGGGGTGATATTCTATTAAGTAGTCACTGTGAAAAGTAATTATTTTCCAGGAAGCGTCTTACCTCAACCTGCAGAGCTGAGGGAGGAAGCCTCTTAAAAATAACTCCAGCGTCATTTCAAGCCAGATCTTAAGAATATGAGATTAAAACCAAGCTGGCTTTTTTGGAAGAGCTTCTTATCCAGGCACAAAGAGAAATCAACCCGGGGATGTTCATGCCACTTGACTATAGATTGCTCTATTTTAGAAACTGTCAGAGCTGGCGTGCAAATAGGGGTGGGCCATAAAATGGGACATTACATGACACTAATTAGCAAGTCCTGTGAGCTCAGAGACAGCCCATCTGTTTGCCGTTCAAGGGGGTGTGAGTTACAACCCCAGGCATCTTCCTTACTTCAATAAAAGTCTCTCAGCCCCCATCCAAAGCAGGGGGTGAGGATCAACCTCTCTCCAGAAGAGTGGGGCAGCTATGGGAACTAGTTAAATGAATAAATAAATAAGCCGGCATCAAAAGATTGATTTAAAGCTGGCCGAGATGGCAAAGTCGTTTTGATTAGGGAAACGAGACCAGCTGAAACTTTTATTTCTCATCCCTAAAAGAGCACCAGACCCAATATATAGAGAGAGCCAGTTTGGCCTAATGATTTAAGGTACCAGGCTCGAAACCAGGAGATGGGGAGTTCTAGTCCCGCCTTAGTCTGAAAGCCAGCTGGGTGACTTTGGGCAAATCATCAGAAGACTATGAGTTCTAGTCCCATCTTAAGCCTGAATGCCAGTTAGGTGACTTTGGGCCAATCAATAGGAGACAGGGAGTTCTAGTCCCATCTTAAGCATGAATGTTAGTTAGGTGACTTTGGGCCAATCAATAGGAGACAGGGAGTTCTAGTCCCATCTTAAGCCTGAATGCCAGTTAGGTGACTTTGGGCCAATCAATAGGAGATAGGGAGTTCTAGTCCCATCTTAAGCATGAATGTTAGTTAGGTGACTTTGGGCCAATCAATAGGAGAACGGGAGTTCTAGTCCCATCTTAAGCATGAATGCCAGTTAGGTGACTTTGGGCCAATCAATAGGAGACCGGGAGTTCTAGTCCCATCTTAAGCATGAATGCCAGTTAGGTGACTTTGGGCCAATCACCATGAGACAGGAAGTTCTAGTCCCGGCTTAAGCATGAATGCCAGTTAGATAACTTTGGGCCAATCAATAGGAGACCGGGAATTCTAGTCCCATCTTAAGCATGAATGTTAGTTAGGTGACTTTGGGCCAATCACCATGAGACAGGAAGTTCTAGTCTCGGCTTAAGTATGAATGCCAGTTAGGTAACTTTGGGCACCAGGAGACGGGGAGTTCTAGTCCTGCCTTAAGCATGAAAGCCAGCTGGGTGACTTTGTGCCAGTCATTCTCTCTCAGTCCAACCCACCTCATGGGGGGGAGGGGAATAGGAGAAGGAAGGTGTAATTGGTTGTTCACTGCCTTGTGTTAGTTATCAAAAATAATAAAATCAGTATACAAATACTGTAAATACATAAATAAAATATGTAAACCAAGCCAGGGTGTCAGTTTTGATGTTCTGCAGTACCGCTGTCAAGTTGATAACAGCACAGTGGGAAAGCACACCTTTGTGCCTCGTGTTATAAACCTAGCTGCACAATGTGTTATAAAATGAGATGCATTCTTTAGGTAGCCTTTTTTGATATGAAAGAAGACTGGGAATTAAGGGATTATTGGCGGGAACGTAACCAAGAGGAGAGAGACTTTACTTTTTTTTCTGATAGACACCAATCTTTTTCAAGAATTGACTTTTTCTTGATTACCACGGATTTGTATAATAAAGTAAAGAATGTAAAGATTTTTCCTAGATCACTGACGGATCATAGTCCAGTTTGGATGGAGCTGATTCAAGAGAAAGAGGAAAGAAGATCCTGGAGAGTTAATGAAAATTTGTTTAGACAAGAGAAGAATGTTCAAAAATTAAAGGAGTGTTTAAAGGACTATTTTGCTTTGAATATGTATAAGGGGACTTCAATGTCAATGGTATGGGATGCAGGTAAAGCATTTATGCGCGGTGTTTTGATAAAAATGAATAATTTTTATAAGCGAAATCAGATTCAGAAACGTAGAGAACTTGAAGATGAAATCAAATTAAAAGAAAGGGCTTTGATTCTAAATCCTTCTGATGAAAGTACTAAAGAATCTGTAAAGTTATTAAGGTCACAATTTAATATGTTGATAGCAGATCAAGCTGCAACCAACTTATTATTATGAAACAAAATACATTTTGTAATGCTAATAAGCCGGGGAGATGGTTGGCTTATCAATTAAGAAAGAAACAGAGACAGAGAATAATAGAGAAAATAAATTACAAGGGTAAACTAGTTTCTCAGAAGGAATTAATTAAAAAATCTTTTTTGGATTATTATCAAAACTTATATAAATCTACTAATGTACAATTGTTAGATATAAATAAATATTTAGCTGAGGCAAGTTTTCCTAAACTGACTGAGGATCAGAAATATGAAATTAATGGCTTAATTACTAAGGAGGAAATTGCCTCAGCAATTCAACAATTGAAATTAGGGAAAGCACCGGGTACGGATGGGTTAACAGCTGTTTATTATAAAGCTTTAATGGAGGAGATGATCCAACCATTAAATGATCTTTTTAATGGTATCTTACAGGGTTTAGAGATTCCTCCTTCATGGCGTAGTGCCTTTATATCATTGATTCCAAAGGAGGATCAAGATCTTACTTTACCAAAAAATTATAGGCCTATATCTCTTTTAAACGTGGATTATAAGATATTTGTAAAAATTTTGGTAAATAGGCTTATGAGGGTGGTGCATCATCTTGTGCATAAAGATCAATCAGGGTTTATAACAGGAAGGTATATGAAAAACAATGTTAGACAAATTATTAATCTATTAGAATACTTAGATAAGAACAACCAAGTTCCTGCAGGGCTCATATTTTTAGATGCTGAAAAAGCATTTGACCAATTGAATTGGCATTTTATGCTAAGAGTAATGGAAGAAATGAATTTTGGTGAAAACATACTACAAGCCCTTAAGTTAATATATCAAAAACAAACAGCACAACTTATTGTTAATGGAGGTCTTTCGGAGGTTTTCACAATAGAGAAAGGTACTAGACAGGGGTGTCCTTTATCGCCATTGTTGTTTGTTTTAACATTGGAAATATTATTGATCAAAATTCGAGAGTCTCAGGAAATTAAAGGAATATATGTTAATAAAAAAGAATATAAGTTAAGAGCTTTTGCGGATGACTTGGTTGTTACTTTGTCGCAACCTGATTATTCTGTAGTAAACTTATTACAGTTGATTCATCATTATGGTTTGGTCTCGGGTTTTAAGATTAATGTAAATAAGACCAAAATTTTACCTAAAAATATGTCTAGTCAGGAGAAGCAGATTTTGACTAACCTGACGGGTTTTGAGATTGTTAATAAGGTAAAATATTTGGGGGTGATGTTGTCTGTTTCTAATGTAAAATTATTTAAAAATAATTATGAAAGGTTGTGGGTCAGGGTACAGAAGGACTTGAAGAACTGGGAAAAGTTGCAATTATCCCTCATGGGAAGAATTGCAGTGATAAAAATGAATATTTTACCCAAGTTTCTTTTTCTGTTTCAAATGTTACCAATTTTGAAAAATGAGATTAATTTAAATGAGTGGCAGAAGGGTCTTAATAAATTTATCTGGGCAGGGAAAAAGCCAAGGGTTAAGTTTAAAATTATGCAAGACTTCCGTGAGAGGGGTGGACTTAAGGTACCAAATTTGAAATTATATTATGATGCGGTGGTTTTAACACTAATCAGTGATTGGGTAAATTTGACAAATTCTGAGATACTTTATCTAGAGGGATGGGATTTACTTTATGGGTGGCATGCCTATTTAATATTCAATAAAAAAATGGATTGGGCTTTTAAATCTCATATCTTAAGAATTTCTTTACTTAGGATTTGGAGAAAATATTATAAAAGTGATTTCAAAGTACCATTATGGGCTATACCTTGGCATGCGATAGAAGCAATAAAAAGAGGGGTTAAAATGGATATGGTGTCTTATAGACAGTTACTTAAATGGGATGGACAAAACTGGCAATTAAAATCACAGGAAGAGTTAGCGCAAGAAAATTTTATTTATTCTTGGTTCCAATATAGGCAATTATTAGACAGATGGAAGATGGATTGTAAGGTGGGTTTTCTTAGAGAAGATGAAAATCTTATTAAGCAAGTGAAGGATTCAAGACAAACCCACATTAAGAGAATTTATGCGGTTTTAGTTGAATTGGATTCAGAAACGGAACTAATTAAAGATTGTATGATAAGATGGGCGCAGAATTTTGGTGAGCCAGTCTCATTGGACACCTGGGAAAATATTTGGGTGAGAAATGTCAAATTTACACAAGCACAGAACTTAAGGGAGAATTTTTATAAAATGTTTTATAGATGGCACCTTGATCCACAAAAAATGTCTTATATGTACCCTGACGTGCAACCCAAATGTTGGAGATGTGGTTATAAGGAGGCTTCCTATTATCATATTTGGTGGTCATGCAGAGAGATAAAAGCATTTTGGATCAAAATATGGTGGAATATCCAGAGAATTTTTAGAAGGAGGGTAAAATTTACTCCGCAATTATTTTTGTTAGGTATTGTTACAGATTGTGATACAAAGGAGGTTGTTTTGATGTTAAATTTGATTACAGCCGCTAGGCTGTTAGTAGGACAATATTGGAAGAAGGAATCTTTGCCTACATTGCAGGAATGGTTTCTTAAAGTAGCTTATCTGGCGGAAATGGCAAAGATTTCGGCTTTCTTAAAGCAACAAACGCAAGAGAAGTTTCTTGCTGTTTGGGATAAATGGATAAAATTTATACAATTTAGATTGGGTATACAAAAATATTATATAGTTTTTTCATAAGTTTTATTTTCATATATATTATAGATAATCTTTTTATATATATAAATATAAAGTTCTTAATTTAATTTTTATTTTTATTTCTTAAGCCTATATTCTGCTCTGGGAAGCTCATGGGGGGGGAAGGGAGGGGGGGGGGTTTGGGAGGGGTGGGGGGTTTTTTTTTTATATATATGTATTGTTTAGTTTTATTTTTTTGTATATGTTGTTTCTTGTTTTGTATCCTTTTTTCTTTTTTGTAAAATTTATAAAACTTTTAATAAAAAAAAAAAAATGAGATGCATTATAACGCCAGGTATATCCTGTGTTATAAAGCAAATTCCAAGGAAGCTGTTTACATTTTCACCAGATGGTGTCTACTGAAGAACAACTCCTATTAATGGCTTAATCCTTTCATTGAGAGAGGGGGGGAAGGGGAGAGAGAGAGAGAGAGAGAGAGAGAGAGAGAGAGAGAGAGAGAGAGAGAGAGAGAGAGAGAGAGAGAGAGAGAGAGAGAGAGAGAAAAGAGAAGAAGAAGAAGGAGGAGGAGGAGGAGGAGGAGGAGGAGGAGGAGGAGGAGGAGGAGGGAGGGAGGGATGTTCACCCGTGCAGTTTGCTTCATCCGACCAATCCCGACAGTCATTGTCACCGTCACATTTCCACGAGAGACGGATACACATCCCCGAATTGCAGCTGAATTCATCGTTCTGACACTGGTGGGCTTCTGAAAAATCGCAGGACAAAATAGTGTGGGTGGAACCTCAGCTTATATCTCACTATCAAATAGGCTGACCACAATTGAGCCTTGCACAATGCACCACGGTTTGTATAATCATGGTTAATTGAACGAAACCACAGGTTAACTCGCTGTGTGCAACTGGAGCCCAAACGTTATGGCCGAGTCTGAAGGAAGGACCCAATCATTTTCTATTGGATGCCTCCTATTCCATCCCATCCCAACAGACTTTCTGGAACAATCTCCTTTCTGCAAGGAAGACACAGTTGCGCTTAGAACACATCACAACACCTCACTGGGGCCAAATGGTGGAGAGAAATGCCAGATGAGGTGGCTTTCTCTGCAAAATAGGTTGAGGCCCGACTTTCCTACTTTCGCCTTACACAAGCCTTCCTCCTCACCCAGATATTTGGTGTCCACCCAAGTAATACTATCACAAAATCTAGTAGCAGATATAAAATTTGTCATGGCAGGAGTCACAGCCTGAGTTTACAAATATATCAGTTTTTGGACAAGGTTCTTCTTGCCTGTTTTCTTTGGGGGGCACTAACTGCCAAACTATAACTCCCCAGCATGGTAGGTGCAGTGTCTCGTCCATCTATGCAATGGTCCTTCTGCATCCAGGTCAAGGGAGAGGCATTTGAGACACGTCAAAAGGGCCAGAGATCTTCTCCTAAGCTTACCACAGTGGCTCTCGTCGCTACTGTCTCCACAATCATCCTCCAGATCACACTTATAGGACAGGGGGACACAGGTTCCTGATTCGTGGCAACGGAATTGGGTGTCAGGATCACACACAGTGGTTGCTGTTAAAACAGAAGGAAAAAGAGACCTTCTAACACCATCAAGATATCATTTGGAGACATCAGCAGCAGCACAAACATGAAAGTAGGCCCATCAGGACTCAGTTCAGAGGCATCAGCTCTCTTAGACTGTTTTGGTAGGAGCAACAAATGGTCTAATGCAGTGGTCTCCAACCTTTCCAGCTTTGTGGACCGACTGGGGGGGGGGGAGGAAGGGAGAGGGGATGGTTCCGTGCCAGCAGCAGGTATGCACGCCCACCACTCACACAAATGGAGCTGCACACATGCCTGCCCACCCACTCGCTGCACGCGAAAGTGGAGCTGCGTGCACACACTCACCCGCTGCTTCTGCAGTCCAGTTCTAAAGGGCCCGTGGGCTGGTAGTCAGCCATGGCCTAGGGCAGGGGTAGGCAACCTCGGTTCTTTTATGACTCATGGACTTCAACTCCCAGAATTCCTGAGCCAGCATGGCTGGCTCAGGAATTCTGGGAGTTGAAATCCATGAGTCATAAAAGAACCGAGGTTGCCTACCTCTGCCCTAGAGGTTGAGGAGCCCTGGTCTAATGGAGAAAAGGGTTGAAGGACAAAATGTGAAGCTTAAGCTTTGCAGAAGCTTCAGGGCATCACTTCATCTCTTAAAAACTGAAAAACTTTCCCCAAATTTAGAATCATAGGGCCGGAAGGGACCTTGTGGAGGTCTTCTAGTCCAGGCCAAGAGTCCTTTTATCATCCTGGACACATGGTTGTCCAATCCTTTCTTGAAAACCTCAGCAATGGAGCACCTGCATCTCTGGGAGGCCATCTGCTCCTTTGGTGAATTGTTCTCACGGTCAGGAAGTCCCTCCTTATTCCATCCTAACCAAAAGGACCTTTGCCCTTTTCTCACTGTCGATGTGTTGCGTGTCAAGATTTATCTAAGATTCTTTGAAGAGGGGCTGTTTTCGATCATTTACTTATGCGAATTCTCCCTTCCCCCCCCCCCAAAAAAAATTATCCACATGACTTACGGCAGTTTTTTTCATCGCTCATGTCCCCACAGTCGTTGTCATTGTCACATTTCCAGATGTTATTAATGCAATTCCCATTTGAGCATCTGTACTGGTTGGAGAGACAGGTGTTTTCTGGATGTTGGAGGCAGAGGAGGAGAGCAGCACAGATAATCAACAGCCATTGAAAAGAAAAGGACAATGTGAATTTAATGAACCCAACATCTAGTCAAGCATCCCAGTTCCCAGCAAGAAAGCTTCCAGAAGCTTCCTAGCAGCTCTCAGAGACAATGTATCCAGAATAACCTTTCTCATCCTTGGCCATTTTAAGATGTGTGGGCTGCAACTCCCAGAATTCTCCAGTCAGCTAAAATTGGCAAGGTTGAAAAAGACTGGTCCAACATCTATGGATTCTACCACCTTTCTCTCCCCAAACATTTCTGCCCAGAACAACTGTATTTTTGTCTCTATCCAGGACAAAACAGCCCCATTTCATTCCTTATCTAACCCAATTCACGTTTTGGTCCAGGAACAAACCAGCAAGAACCAACATGAATTGTTGTACATCAGTGGTTCTCAACCTATGGATCGGGACCCCATTTGGGGTCGAACGACCATTTCACGGGGGTCGCCAAACAACGCAGTCCGCCATTTTTTCCCCCTTTTCCTTAGCTGTGCTACTCCCTTTAATTCTATTGGCTTTTGAAAGCCAATAGAATAGACTCTCTTGAACAGAGTCTAATTCTATTGGCTTTCAAAAGCCAATAGGAATTGTCCAGGCTGTCTCTGCCCTGCTGAGCCGGCCAAAAGTCCCATTCTGCAAACGGTGCTGCACCAGTTGAGTAATCCTCGACTTACGACCGGTTGGGGTCGCGGCATTAAAAAGGTTGAGAACCACCGTTGTACATGAACAATTTTGCACTTCTCCTGAAGACCCTAACAAAGTGCATTAAAGCTGTGCAATTATCCAGAAATTGTTTGGAAAGGGTTATTTGGTCCGGCCAGAAACACAAGACTACTCTTTAAAGCAGCTGTATCACTTCTCGTGATCCTGCACTGCCTCGTGATCCTGCCGAAAAGAAGCAGATGTTTTAAAGGGCTACATTTGCATTCTGACACACTCTGAAGCATTTTTCTGGCATCCATATAATTCTGGCAATACATGGTGGATTGTTTTAAATGTTGCAAGCCACCTGGGATCATCTATATGCTAATTGGGTGGCTGCATAAATTTGTTTAGTCAATAAGTATAATAAAATGCAATTTGAGATGCTATCTAACACTCTAGCACCCAAGGTATATCCCTTACCTTCTTTTACGCAGGTGCCATTCTTCAAGTGATAGTTGGGTGGACAATCACATCTCATCTCCCCCGATTGGAGCACGTGGCTGGTGACTCCATCAGGGCATCGACAACTGTAGTTATTGTTAGCCCTGGGCAAACACAGCAGGCTGCATGGCTTGTCCGCACATGCGTTCTTCCCTGTCCAGAGGAGAGAAGAAGGAAGAAAGTACTTTGTGAACCAGAAAAGTACACTGTGAAACTTCAGGAGAACAGGTTGCCTTCCAGACGTCCCAAAGGCGCTTTTCCAAAAGCCAGCTGGATTTTCTTGTGTTTTTTTTTCTTTGAAAATGCTTCGCTTCTCATCCGAGAAGCTTCTCGGATGTGAAGCAAAAGATTTTCAAAGAAAAAAAACCAAGAAAGTCCAGTTGCCTTTTGGAAAAGTGCCTTTGGGACAACCCTGACCTGGATGATTGAGAACCTTCATGGACAATTGCCTTTCAGTTGTTATTTTTAATTATATTCAGCAAGGAAAATTATTTCAAGGGAGATGCATCAGAGAACTAGAGGCAATGTTTGGTGGTGGACCAGCAAATACCTGCACTCTTTCCGTGGTAGAAGATTTTCATGTCCATCACACTGTTGAGATGGTCAACCAAGGTCTCCATTCTGGCTCCGTTGTGTTTGGAGGCTCTGAAGATGCTCAGTTGCGACCAATCGTTCCAATAAATATCATTCTGGGGGGGGGGATAAAAAAAAGGTTTCATTTTTAAACATTCAGTGGAGGACCAGACATGGAGGCAGATGAAAGACATAACCATACAAGCAAGTACCAAACCACGTTAATTGTGCAAAGACTTAGCAATAATACCTAGTCTCTATTCAATTCATAATGCACACATGAGGGTTGACTTCCTATGCAAAACCAAGCAAAGGATCATACCTTATAAAGCATAATAAATAATTGTGCTAGGGCACCCAAAACGTTTTGCTCCTGCTTTGATCTGTGCAAGCAAGTAACAACTCAGGATGGATAGCTCTGCTCTGCATCACACTCATAGTGGTTCTGAGAACTAAGAACAAGCTGCCCGGAGATTATGGGAAATGGAATCCAATATGTCTGGCCAAATTTATCTGAGTTGGGAAACTAAGCAGGGATGAGTTGGTTAGGACTTGGATGAAAAAAAATTATTAGGAATCTCAGAACTATAATCTCAGACTAGGAAATTAAAAAAAAAAATCCAAGAAAAAGGACCTTGATTTTCATCCCATTGGATTTGTCCATAAAGTCTCTAGGAATCAGACACAACCCTTTTAAGCCTAGAGAGTTTTAGATTGACTGTACTCTATTATAGAGGGTTCCCGATTGATGCCCGCCCTATCATAGAAGGTTCTAGATTGATAATGCCTGCTCTATCGTAGAGTTCTAGATTGATTATGTCTGCTCTATCATGGAGGGTCCCAGGCAGATAATATCTGCTCTATCATAGAGAGTTCTAAATGAAGCCTGCTCTATCATGTAGAGTTCTAGATCAGTGGTTCTCAACCTGTGGGTCGGGACCCCATTTGGGGTCAGACGGCCATTTCATGGGGGTCGCCAAACAATGCAGTCCGCCATTTTTCCCCCCTTTTCCTTAGCTGTGCTACTCCCTTTAATTCTATTGGCTTTTGAAAGCCAATAGAGTAGACTCTCTTGAATAGAGTCTAATTCTATTGGCTTTCAAAAGCCAATAGGAATTGTCCAGGCTGTCTCTGCCCTGCTGAGCCCGCCAAAAGTCCCATTCTGCAAACGGTGCTGCACCAGGTGAGTAGTCCTCGACTTACGATCGGTTGAGTAGTCCTCAACTTACAACCGGTTGGGGGGTCGCGGCATTAAAAAGGTTGAGAACCACTGTTCTAGATTATGTCTGCTCTATCATGGACGGTTCTAAATGAATGAAGCCTGCTCCATCATGGAGGGTTCTAGGTGGATAATGCCTGCTCTACCATGGAGGGTTCCAGAAGTACCTTAAACACAGCAATGGCATAGGGATGAGGAAGGCTATCCAAGATCACTGATCTCTGCCTGCCATTGAAATCGACCCGCTCAATCCTGTCCATGTAGGCCTCGGTCCAGTAGATCCAACGGTCATCTGCCGAAATCCCATTTGGCCACTTTACTCCCTCGGAGACGATGCAAGAAGCAGAGGAGCCATCCATTTCGCTTCGATAAATACCCGGCCGGGAATCCCCCCAGTCTGTCCAGAACATCAGCCTGGGAACAGAAGGCGCAACAAACAAGAGGCAGAGGAAAACATGAAGCTTCAGTCGGGCTAGAACTAGGATTGAATGTAATTCTCCTCATTAATTTAGGAGACTTTTCAACCCAGAGAAATTTCAAGATGTGAGATTCCACTTTTTGGATGTTTGCATTGGGGGTCCAGGTTGCAAGTCCTCTGACTCCAAAGAGAACATAAACAAGATCCAAGGATAGGGGCTTCCTACTTACCCTTCTTTGGACACCAGAGTTAGGGCCCGGGGTCGCTCAAGCACCGAGGAATTTAAAATGGTAAGACGCAAGTCCCCGTCTGGATTGGCCACCTGGGTGAAGACCACAAATTGGAGAACAATGATTCCACCACAATATTATTATTACTGAACTAGTCGGAGGCACTACGCAGCTGGTTTAGTTGTAGCTGGAAGTCATGAGGCATGCGGAGCCCCAAAGGTTAGGTCTTACATGCTGTACATCCATCCCACTTGAGGTTGACCACTTCGAATAAAACTCCTGACGAAGTCCAGCCAGAATAAAACAGGCTGTGGAATGCCTCCTGGTGGTAGATAATGATAACCACTGTGGTACAATGTAGAGTTACATCCACTCTGGGGGGAAGGTCTTGATGTCTCTAGCACAGTGTTTCTCAACCTTGACAATTTTAAGGCATGTGGACTTCAACTCCCAGAATTCCACAGCCAGCATTGCTGGCTGTGGAATTCTGGGAGTTGAAGTCCACATGCCTTAAAATTGTCAAGGTTGAGAAACACTGCTCTAGCATGAGGGCCAGACAAATCAACACCTGTAGATCTCTCTTTAGTCTGAGAGTGGAAACAAAAAAGGAAGGTGTATCATTCACAGCATCTGTGTTGGCGCTTTCTGTCTGTTGTCCTGGGCAGTGTCAGGACCATTGGAACCCAGTATCAAGCCACTTCATTTTCTAAACCATGGCTTATGATCTACATTTGATGACTGAATGCAGCTAGTTTAATGAAAAGAAAGGCCAGGGGTGACATAATAGCAGTGTTCCAATAGCTAAGGGGCTGCCACAAAGGAGAGGGGAATCAACCGATTCTCCAAAGCTGCTGAAAGCAGGACCAGAAGCAATAGATGAAAACCAATCAAGGAGAGAAGCAACCTAGAACTAAGGAGAAATTTCCTAACATTGAGTACAATTAACCAGTGGAGCAACTTCCCTCCAGAAGTTGTTCCACTAGCTAATTGTACCCAATGTTAGGAAATTTCTCCTTAGTTCCCTCCAGAAGTTGTGGGTGCTCCATCACTGGAGGTTTTTAAGAAGAGATTGGACAACTACTTGTCTGAAAAGATATAAAGTCTACTGCGTGAGCAGAGGGTTGGACTAGAAGACTTCAAATGCCTCTTCCAACTTTTGTTATTCTGTTATGATGAATAATTCAGGAATATAATAATAATAATAATAATAATAATAATAATAATAATAATAACAACAACAACAACAACAATAATAGTAAAGTTGGAAGGGACCTTGGAGGTCATCTAGTCCAACCCCCTGCTCAGGCAGGAAACCCTATACCATTTCAGACAAATGGTTGTGCAGTCTCTTCTTAAAAACTTCCAGTATTGGAGCATTCACCGCTTCTGGAGGCAGGTTGTTCCACTGGTTAATTGTTCTCACTGTCAGGAAGTTTCTCCTTAGTTCTAGGTTGCTTCTCTCCTTGATTAGTTTCCATCCGTTGCTTCTTGTCTTGCCTTCAGGCGTCTTGGAGAATAGCTTGACTCCCTCTTCTTTGGGGCAGCCCCTGAGATACTGGAAGGCTGCTATCATGTCTCCCCTCGTCCTTCTCTTCATTAAACTAGACCTACCCAATTCCAGCAACCATTCCTTATATGTTTTAACCTCCAGTCCCCTAATCATCTTTGTTGCTCTTCTCTGTACTCTTTCTAGAGTCTCAACATCTTTTTTACATCACGGTGACCAAAACTGGATCAAGTTTAAAACAAGCCACAGCCTGGTCCAGACAAGGTGGATCCAGTTTGTCTCTTTCTGTGGCTTCTTTTAGAGACCAAGGAGTCTCTAAAGAGAGTTACTTTCATCTTGCTAATGTTAAGGATTTGTATTAGGTTAACGTCAACACACCAGCAGGTAGTCCCTGAATCCAGATCTATTTTCTACCCACCCACACCTTTCGCCAAGGACACAGCCGGTTAATTAGGAGGAAAAACTCCCTCCTCCTTAGTGTAAATCTTTCTTTCTTTCTTTCTTTCTTTCTTTCTTTCTTTCTTTCTTTCTTTCTTTCTTTCTTTCTTTCTTTCTTTCTTTCATCAATATGCTACCCATCTCACTGTTGAAGTGACCAGTTCTATTGTTGCAGAAGAAACAAAGCCCAAATACACAGAGTAAAAATTCAAGAAATTGTCTTTCCTCCATGCTGCCTGTCTGGGGTGGAGTTCTGCTTGAGTGATAGGCTTCCTTCTTGAGTTGTTGGCTTCCTTCCTGCAAGCAGAAGGAGGCATACCTCGATTTTGGGGATGCCGGCGTTCACCCAGTAAAGCAGTTGACTGATGGGCTCGAAGACCAATGCTTCGACTGTCTCCAGGCCAGTGCCGATGATCACTTCCTGCCCAGAACTTCCGTTGAGACAGAGACGCTGAAAACAACAGATCAGAGCCATTAGGGAAGTCAACTGCTAAGTTGGATGCCAACAAAACTCAAGAAGTGGTCCCTGAAACTAAGAAGTGATGGAAAATATCCACTGACACTGCAACTTTAAGGCTGCATCGCCTAGAACAGATGTATCCAACCTTGGCAACTTTAAGACTGTTGGACTTCAACTTCCAGAATTAACCAGGCAGCAATTCTGAGAGCTGAAGTCCACAATTCTTTTTTTTTTTTTTTGTAAAAATTTTTATTTTCAACTTTACAATACATAACAATCTTACAAACACTTCAGATAAAAAATAAAACAAACTGATACACACCACATTCGGTCTTGCCCGCCCATTTCCCCCCAAACGGCATCCCACCTCAAACCAACTTACTTCTTTCCCTCTTTTTCTTCACTCACCCCCTCTCCTCCACCTTCCTACATACTTCTCACCTTCTTCTCCTCCCTCTTGATGCGGTCCAGGGGAAATGCCCGAGCAGTTCCTCTCTCAAAATTAAAACATTAATATTATATACAATAAGACTATTTCTACTTTATCTGAACTACTTAAACTAAGTAGCTCTTTATACGAAATGTTGTCAAAATTCACCCCCTTGGAAACCCCCTGGATTGCTTGTCCAGGGATCCCCCAAATAGGTATTTTATAATTTAACTTATAATAATATTCTTAAAGTTGGCCAATGTTGGACACTTTTGGCCTAGAACTTCCAGCCTTTATGGTGGTCAACTTAGAAGAAGTAGCACTTAGGGCTTGTCCTTCTGAGTCAACTTCAGAAAGCAACAGATACCCACATTATACTTTATATCTCACTTTTTTCTGTACACTCAAAAAGATCTTCGGAGGAAGTGGCAGAATTAAGAGGAAGTAGAATGTTAGAATGTCCTCGCATCAACGGAGAGCACAGAAGTCACTAACCTGGATGATTTCAAGAGTTACATCAGCCCAGTAGAGGCAGTTGTGGCTGTAATCAAAGTCAAGGGCCACCGCCCCACGCAGCCCGGTCAAAGGCAAATCTTCGGTCAGCCCAGATGAGAGATCGTACCGATGAATGGAATACCTTGTTGCATACAAGATGAACTCATTTTCCTCTGCAAAAAATAAATAAATATATCAGCCAATGAATGAATGTTTTGAACCAGGATTTTACATTTGGAAAGGAGCCTTTTCTGAGCTCAACTAGGGGGACGACTGCAAACGCTCTGCTTCTGTAGCATCCTTTCCAGCTGATGTCAAGACTGAAACGTCTTGATTTTCCTCCCCAAATGGCTAAGATTTAAAGCATAATCCAACAAACTTTTTTTTAATGTATGTCACATTGTGAAGTTCTTATTTTTCACTCCCAACTATGTAATTTTATTTCAAGAAAAGGTAGAAACCCTCCTTTCCCAGTGTTGGACAATTCTAAGTCTCTTTTATTTCAAATAATTTTAATTTTTTTTAAAAAATGCTGCCCGAACAATGTGGTAGCAGACATTTCCCAATCGTTCCATCGAAGCTACTGATCAACTGTCTTAGCTGGCAGCGATACCTGGTCCATTTGGGTTGCTCTCAAAAAAATTAAATGTGCGTTCATTAGTTAGCAAAAATCAAGCTCAACACAAGGCAGGTTTTTATCTTCCTGATCTACAAGCCACACAATATGGTTAGGTACTGTTTTTGCAAAAGCCCCCCCCCCCCTCTTGGCTTACCTGCTAATGGACAGGGTACCGTTTCCCCTTCTAACCGGGCCTCTACGTCACCCCCAGAACACGTGTCGCCGGATATCTTGCGGTAACTAACATCAATAAAACAAGAGTGCTTGGTCAGAGACACACATAGTTGCAATCTGAGTGCCCCTATCAAGTTAATAGCCCTGGGAAAGTGCTACTTTAACCTACGCAGATGACAAATTATTTTCTGCAACTGTTTGCATTTTAGAGGGTGAGCAATTGAAACCCTAGTACCCTACAAAACGAATTTTCAGGTAAATATATTAATGGAGTGCATCAGCACCTGGGTACAGGTGGGTAGTGATGAAATGAGCATTGTGTTGCCCTCCCTCTTTTAAGCATCAATTACAGACAATTACCTGAATAACAGGTAACTGCCATTTTAATTGCTGCTTTACTGACAAGCTTTTTTGTTGTGGTTGTTGTTAATTGCAAAGTCGTGTCCGACCCATTGCCCCATGGACAACGCTCCTCCAGGTCTTCCTGTCCTCTACCATCTTCTGGAGTCCATTGAAGTTCACACCTACTGCTTCAGTGACTCCATCCAGCCATCTCATTCTCTGTCGTCCCCTTCTTCTCTTGCCCTCAATCTTTCCCAGCATTAGGCCCTTCTCCAGTGAGTCCTTCCTTCTCATTAGGTGGCCAAAGTATTTGAGTTTCAACTTCAGGATCTGGCCTTCTAAAGAGCAGTCGGGGTTGATCTCTTCTAGGACTGACCGGTTTGAACGCCTTGCAAAATCCTTCTCCCCCCCCCCCATTTTAGCCTTTTAACCAGCTATCTAGATTGTACAAGGATATCATCCTCTATATAATGTTTCAACTGCAATTCTCATCTTAGTTTTGACTTCATTATCAGGAAACTATTTATTGTTTTACAATGTTGTTAATTCTTTTATGATGTTTAATTTATTTAATTGCCTGTGACCGCACAGGACTACATCCTGCTCAGATAAAACTATGCAAACAGTTTCTAAGACACAACTGTCTTCGTCTCAGTCAATTACTCCTGTTTTAGGACAGAAGCATCTATCTGAAATTCTATTTCCGCCTGTCTCAAAAAAAAAAAAGGTTTTAGAAATGAGTATGATCAACCTTGTAGTATATAAATCTTGCTACCTACCCTCGGGTTTTCTTGTAGGTTGACCCAACCGGGCACAGCGCAGGAGGAGAGAAAAGTTTTCCAGCAAACTCGGGATCTGGAATGCAAACTTCTAATGATAGGTCCTCACTTAGCTTGAAGCCAAAATCACTAAACGGGGAAGTGTAAAAAAAAAAGAAAAGAAAAATACTTGTTCTAGTTCAGGGGTCTTCAAACTGGGTCCTTTTATGACCTGTGGACTTCAACTCCCAGAATTCCTCAGCCAGGCATGCTGGTTGAAGAATTCTGGGAGTTGAACTCCACAAGTCATAAAAGGGCCAAGTTTGAAGACCCCTGCTCTAGTTGTTGTTCTGAAGCATCTTGTTTCAAAGATTAGAAAAGCAAGAATTCAGGAATCGCAACCACTTAAATAGGATTATCACCCACAGAGTATCCAAGGTAGAGTGTGCCTCAACCTCACCAACTTTAATAGGTGTGGACTTCAACACCCAGAATCCCTCAGCCAGCATCTCCAGCCAGCCAGGCCAAGCTGTAGACAAGGCAGAGTGGCAGACAAAAATTGGTATCGTTACCGCAAGAGGACACATCTTGACCTAAAGTTAACAGCACCTTGAAGATATATGGACTTCAACTTCCAGCATGCTGCTGGCTTGGGAATTCTGGGAGTTGAAGTCCCACATATCTTCAAGTTGCTGAGGCTGAGAATCAAGTTGCTGAGGCTGAGAATCACTGACCGAGACCCATAAAATATTCATTTCCCTCGTATCCCCAAGGCCTCACTAAGTTTTCCCTTGATTTCACTTTCCACATAGGCTGGGGGTTACGGTTGAGGCAACCCATCTCTTTCAAGGTAGATGTCCTCTACCTTGAAAGTCCTCACCGTCCAATATTCATTGTCACTGTCGTTCACCAGAGACCTCGACTTACCACTCGTAATCTTCCCTAGTGCAGGACCAATTGGAGACCAGGAACGGTCGATCAAAATCTTCCCCGTTGAAACACGTGGCATGAGGCGTCCGTCTTTTGAAGACTGTCTTGTGTCCCAGGAGACACTCGTTCCCACGTTCATCGGAGGGAGACCACAGCTTATAATCGTTTTCTGTGCAAGGAACCCCTAGGAAATCATCAGGGGAGTATTTTTTTTAAGTTGCAGGGAGTAGACAGGGAAAGGAAAACCCTGTCATGCTACAAAGACATGTTTTGGCCTACACCGAGATCAAGAAAGGCCACCGGAGGCGCACTCCTTCCCTTACCGAGGACGTCCGTGGTGTTGATCTGCAAAATCAGCCAACTGTGGCCGTTTTCTTTGTAAGATCCAAAGATGGTGAAGATGGTGCTTTTCTCGCCCGGTTCTGTCAGCAGGCCATACACAAAGACTGGCTTTTCGGAGAACTTGAAGGTTTTCCAAGTTTCCCCTTCATTCGTACTATACCTAACGTGGAAAGAATGGCAAGGAAGCGTCTGCCATACCTTGGTTTTGATCCTTCTCCAATCCAGCATCTTTTGCTTCAGATAGTCCCCGTTTCTTGCTACTTGCCTCTAAGTTCGGGATACAGCCCATTAAGCCTTGCAGTGTGGCATCACATGCCTTATTTTACCCCTCTCTATCCAGAACCTGAAGAATGAGGTTGCTGGAAATTGGAAACTCGCTGCCAAGTTTCAGCCATATATTCTGGGGGACGGTGGGGGGCTGTAAAATGAAAATGGAGCGCAAATTGCTCACCCGGACAATACAGGCTAACCAGAGGGAGGCCCTTTAAAGACCCCCGTGAATGGCCAAATTCAGCCAAAGCAGAGCCCATTTAGATTCCATTAATCTCCATCTTCCCCCCCCCCCAAAAAAAAACAACAGTAGTTGTTCTGGTTGAGATTTGGATCCTGCTCAAAACTAACAACCATTTATTGATTTGTAATAAAGCCACTATTGATATAGTGGTGAAGGCACCATGCTAGAAACCGAGACTGTGAGTTCTAATTCTACCTTAGACAGGAAAGATGGCTGGGTGGCCTTGGGCCAGTCCCTCTCTCTCAGCCCTAGGGAAGAGGCAAACCACTTTTGAAAATCCTTGCCAAGAAAACTGCAGAGGCTTGTCCAGGCAGTCTCCAAGAGTTGGACATAATAAACAATAAATACATAATAAAATTATGTAAAATTATAAAACCATCCATATGCTATCCTTGTGCACATTTTGGAAACCACTCCCCAAGAATTTTCCTGGAGTTTTTCAAAGGGCCTTATTCAGGAGACTGGACAGAGAGATCTGCTGCCTCCTTTAATCACCGCCCACGGCTTCTTCCTTAAAATCGGATACCAGGAGCTGGAAAAGGGAGCTGATTTGGGCTTCTTTCCTAAACATGCTGTTTTTCAAATCTGAGATGCAACTTAGATTGCTCACTGGGATGGAACACACAATCTGCTGGAAACTTTGGCTGTCGGGACTTGAATGAAATTTTCCCTCTAAGGTTGATCAGCTCTTCAACTTCTTCACCCAGTAAAAAGTTTTAGATAATGACTATCAAGACTCCTTTTCCATCTTCCCAGGGCCCTAAAGCAAATCCGGTGGAAGGTAAATTAACCCGGTTTAGGAGTCCAATGTCAGGTCAGGCAGACATATCGGTACTTTGCTTACTTCAGCTGGTTTGTTTCTGACCCCTGTGTCACGGCCATGAGGATGCCCCCGTGGTCTCCCCAGGAGTAATAATGGGGTCCAGACAGGACCTGAGAGAGGAAGCAAACAAAGTCACTGGTCTGAGATGGCCACAACCCGTGTCTGATCAGTATCAGGGAAGTAAGGGAGAAATATAAACATGCATGCACAGAAAAAATGCATTCGGCATTCTGAAAGTCGATATTCGTGCTCCTGCTTGCTGTAACAAAGACATCTAAGGCTGAGCCTGACTGTCATTTCTCCCCCTTGAGGCATCACGTTATTGGAGCTGCTCCTCTCTGAAAACTTCAGCAAAATTGGATATACCTCCCACAGAAGCCCACCCTATCCAGGTAGCCCTTAGGAGCCCAGTTGGGGCGAGGCCTTCTGCTACTAAGCAAGATTAAGTGAGTCGCATCCAATTTTATGACCTTTTGGCCCCAGTTCAGCGAGTCACTGCAGTGAATCATGTGGTCGTTAAACGAATCCCACTTCCCCCATGGACCCTGCTTATCAGAGGCCAGCTGGGAAGGTAGCAAATGGCAATAACCTGACCCTGGGATGCTGCAACCCTCGTAAATACACGCAAGTGTGCCAAGCAGTTGAATTTTGCTCATGTGACTGCAGGCATGCTGGAAAGGTTATAAGTGCGAGTAATTTTGAACGGTCACTAAACAAATGTTGTAAGTTGAGAACTACCTGCACTTGGAAAACCACCAGATAAGGAAAAGCCAACTAAAGCTCTTTGCATCTCCAGTTTTGGCTGGCAGAAATGTAGATTTTAGGGTTTTCTGCTTATCCAAGTTGTCTTGGAGGCAATTTCAGCTGGGCGTCCTAGAACTTGACAGCCACAAAGCAAAAAGGGAGCAAATCAGCTGTTCCAAATATTTTTGCATCTTGGGAGCCCAGAGGCTAAGCAAGGGAAAAAAAATTCCTTTTTGCCTTCCGCTGCTGTCTTCCTCTTCTCAGACTAGGTAGGAGACAAACCAGCGGTGGGATTCAGCTGGTTTGCACCACTTAGGCAGAACTGGTAGCTAATTTTTTGTTGCCCAGGCCCAGAATGTCATGGTTCCGACAGATGAAATTCTTCAAAGAACTTCGAGGCATTGTTTATCTTAAAGAATCTTTATTTGAGAAGCATAGCATCGGCACTAACACAGTCGAAGCCAAAAACTGGATTCCCCTCCCCTGAGCACATAGTATCAAAGCACAATTCCCTCCTCCAATTAACTATCACATTCTCCAATTAGTTAGAAATGCAGGCTTTCCCTCCTGTTCTCCAAACCCCCCAATTCTTATCATCTCTTATTTCATTAACCTTGGTTCAAACACTAGGTCCAGTATTGTTATGTCTAGCTAAACGCTCATGCACATTCCTACCCCCAGCATCATCTAACTCTAAAAGTAAAACATCCAATGTTAGCAGCGTTGACACGGAATGGACTTCTGGAAGCGGAATCCACACAGAGAACCAGTTGTTCACATACCTGAATCCCACTACTGAGCCAAACCAAGCCCAGCCCGTCCCCAAAGGGGAAGGGGAGGAGGCTGCGTTTACAGCACAGAAACCCTTTGCAGATGTTGGAATGCAAGCTGAAAGTCACATCATCGGATGAGCTCGGCTGCAAAGCTCAGGGCCGAGTGACCCACCGAAACAACCACTTCCATGAACGGGAGCCAAGCCTCACTGGGAAGGCACATGGCCAAACTTCTTGGGCAGCTCATCCTGCGCTCTCCCCTCCTTGCCACAATCGGATCATCCCAACACACTCGAGTGAGGCATTTGCCGAAGAAAAGCCTAGTGCATTGAGATGGGCAAGCAAAGGACAAATGCCATTCACCACAAATGGGCAGCAATCTTCCTTCACAGGCACTTGGGCCTTATTTTTTTTTCCTTTGTCAATGTTTCACTTCTCATCCAAGAAGCTTCTACAGTTCTAACTGACTAGTGGGGGATGGAATTCCAGTCTAAACCGTTAGAACTGAAAAAGCTTCCTGGATGAGAAGCGAAACGTTTTCAAAGGAAAAAAACAACCACAAGAAAATCCAGCTGCCTTTTTGAAGGGGAAAAAAAAAAACATCTTTGGGACAAGTATGACCTGGATGTTTGAGAATCTCCACAGACATTAAACTTAGCCTCAGTTCATAGATTTATTCAGCCAAACCAAGAAAAAAAAATGTAGCTTCTACAACCGTTGCCAATGTGGTTTTGGTTATGCTAGCTGGGGATGATGGGAGTTTGGGTTGGTGGTGTCAAAGCATCAGGAAAGGGCAAGGTTAGGAGGAAGGTAGTTAACCAGAACCAGTACTTCTTGGAAATTAAATGAAACCAAAGCCCAAACTCCCCATATTGTCAGCATTAGATGAGATGGGGAGCACACAGATGGAATGAATGAATGTGTCAACGCTGCTAACGTCGGATGTTTTTATTTTTACAACAGTTGGAGATGCAACCATTTTCTTCTTATGTTTTACTTTTAGAGTTAGAGTTAGATGAGGCGGGGGGGGGGAGGAATGTGCATGAGATTTTAACTAGACATAACAATACTGGACCTAGTGTGTGAACCAAGGTTATTGAAATAAGAGATGATAAGAATTGGCCAGGCTGGAGAACTGGAGGGAAAGCCTGCATTTTAAACTAATTGGGGAATGTGATTTATGACTGTTAATTGGAGGAAGGAATTGTGCTTTGATACTATGTGCTCAGGGGAGGGGAATCCAGTTTTTGGCTTCGACTGTGTTAGTGCCAACGCTATGCTTCTCTAATAAAGATTCTTTAAAGTAAACAATGCTTCGAAGTTCTTTGAAGAGTTTATTTATTTATTTATGAGACTTATATACCGCTTTAAGTGCAAGCACTCTCTAAGCGGTGTACACCAGTAAGCAATGTATGTATATATTTACATTGCCCCCCAACAATCTGGGTCCTCATTTTACCTACCCCGGAAGGATGGAAGGCTGAGTCAACCTTGAGCCGGTGAGATTTGAACCGCTGATCTGCTGAACACAGTCAGCTAAAGTGGCCTGCAGTACTGCACTCTAACTGCTGCGCCACCTCGGCTCTTAGTTTCATCTGTCAGAACCATGACAGAATGAATGAATGAATGACTATAGAAGCTGCTGAGCCAGAGAGGCACAGGGTGGTGCATGCTCAGCTGTGGCACAATCCTTTCCCTAGTGTTGAAATGCCTCTAGAGGTACAGGGATGCCCCCACACACACCTGCTCCACACGAGGGTCCCGTGTTTCCTTACCTCCTGCCACCTGACGCCCGCACTGCTGGAAATGTAGACGTTCATTTTACTTGCCATGTTCTTCCCCACAGAACCTACAAAGAAAAGCACATGAATCTCAGAGCGATTCTTTCGATCTGTCTGGGCCTCAAGACAGTGCCCACGACTGCAAAACAGAAGCCTAATACGGCTAGTCCTCGGCTTACAACAGCTCATTTAGTGCCCATTTGAAGTTCAAATGGCCCTGAAAAAAAAGTGACGACCGTTTTTCACACTGACGAACGTTGCAGCCTCTTCGTGGTCGGCTCATCAAACTTCAGACGCTTGGTAATCAACTCAGATTCACGAGGGTTGCAGCATCCCGGGGATCATGTGCTGCTCTTGTACCACCTCCTGACAAGCAATGTCGATGGGGGAAGCCAGATTCACTTAACAACCATATTATTGGTGATTCGCTTAACAACTGTGACGTCAAAGATCGTAAAATGGGGCAAAACTCACATTTTAACAGCTCGTAAGATCGCAAAATGGGGCAAAACTCGCTTTTTAGCAGCTGTCTCACTTAGCCACAGAAATTTTGGGCTTAGTTGTGGTCGCAAGCCGAGGACTATCTGTATTTAGAGCGGTGTTTGTCAACCTTGGCCACTTTTAAGTTTCATGGGCTTCAACTCCCAGAATTCCTCTGCCATCATCGCCAGCCAGCCAGGCCAGGGAGAAAGCAAGAAGGAGATTATCATTAATTGGGCTTTTACTATCGACCAGAATTTAAGCAGAGGAGAGCGAGAAGATCGAAGTGAACCAAGCCCCCCACCCCAAACTATCTACCTGTTGCAATGATCAGTCCGGGAGCAGATTCCTTGGATAGGATGGGCATCCTGCGTAACTGGAAGTTGAGGAGCTGGCTGAGTCTTTGGGCCAGGTGAAGTGAACAACCCAAAGAAAGCTAGTAAAGATGAAACACAAGACAAATGTCACTTGCCTTGTCCTACCGAACAAGATGCATTCAGCATTCTGGAACCTGTGTGTCTCATTAAGAGCCCCTCTTCCACAATCACAGGAGGGTGACAAAAAAACTGCAGCTAATTCCTACTAACATGCATTTATGCATTTTCAGTACACGTAGTTTCAGTTGCCTGCTTAAAAAAAACACACCACTCTTTTGGCAAGGGGCAAAACTATTGGTAAAATGTCCCTTCCAAGCGGGAGACATTTAGAAGTTGAGCGGTTACGGTACACCACAACTGCCTTGGCCAATGTTTCCTGGGCAGGACAGGCTCCAAAACCAAGAAAGACAACTTGAGTTACTTCAAAGTAGTTTCCGTAATTGTTCCTCACCTATAGGTAGGAATCTTGCCAAACTAAAGCAACTACTTACATAATTCTCTGAGAATTGCTAGGGAGGAACCCTCTTAACTCTCTTCCTTCCAACCAAACTATCTAAATTCTGCTGTCTCTTGCTCCTCTGGAATGCAGCCCCCCTCCCTCCCTCCCTCCTGGGAATCCAGACTACATTCCACCACAGCACAGAATTTGTCCACAAAGAAGCAATGGTGCTGAATTTCCCAACCAATACAACCAAACCTCCCATCCCATGTGCATATCTTCCAACAGGCCTCATATGTCTACATGTTCCTGTTACATTTGTTGATAAGCTTAGATGCGACATCTGCAATAGTCTGTGGGAAATGACCTTGAGAGACAGGACGGAGAGCCACAGGCTGGACAACCAGCACATAAAAGAAATCTCATCCCATAGGAGCAAAAGGAGCGTGGGAAAAATTTCAGAAGGGACCCTCTCTAGTTTCCCGGAGAGTAAAAGGAGAGGAGGGGAGAAATGTTTACAGCCTTGCAAGATTCTGTTCATGTAACCTTACAATAAAAGCAGAGCTAGATCGCCTGGTTGGGCTTCTTTGTTAGGAATACCTTGCATGGCTAACATCAATCTTGCAAGACTGAAAGTATTTCTCTCCTCCTTTCCTTTTACTCTCCAGAAAAGTAAGGAGGGTCAATTCTGAAAACATCTTTCCCACCCTCCGTCTTTCGTTGGATATTATTTTACATAACGGTTGTCCAGCCTGTAACTCTCCCTTCTGTCTCCCAAGGCCATTCCCACATATCATTACAACATTAAAGTAGGACAAAGTTTGACTACAGATAGTTAGGATGAGGGCTATTTTCACCAGAATCTCTAGGAGAAAAGTATCCTAGAGCAGTGGTTCCCAACCTTTTCTATACCCTGCACCCCTAGAACGCTTCTAATATATTCTCGCACCCCTTACAAAAGTTCAAAATAACGGCAACGAATTATGCACATACACTATAATTTTTAAAACCCAAGTTTTTGCACCCCCTGGAATATCGTCTCGCACCTGTCCTAGAACATCCTTCAGATATTACTCAGCTGATCAATAGGAAGAAAAGATTATACTCAACTTTTCACGTGGCTCAACAGATTGGCCACACAGATGCTGCCAAGTGCATGAACCAAGACTTCTGGTGCAGAGATGCACAAGCACAAATTTAGCAAGAGAAAGCCACTTGTTCAAAAAAATATGGACATGAGTGGGAGAACGTGCACATCTGCCGTCCACTGCTGCTTGCGTACCCCAACGATGACCAATACAAAAAAAGATAAGCTCACCGTGGGTCAATGTCGCCAGACATCCCCTACTTTTACAACCTGCGTGAAGCTTAACTGGGTCCCTGGAATGCAATGAGCAATCCGAAAGCCTTCAAAGAGACAGCATCATTCCGTGGGTTGCCGGCATCATTACCTCACAATTTATCTTTTCGCCATAGTGAGTATACTCTGGAGGCTGGAGAAATTCCCAAGTCCCACCTTTGTCGAAGGTGATGACCGAGCGCATGTTCTCGTCGCTGAACGAGCCGTTGATCAAAGTGGTGATATAGACCCCTGGAATGCCCTCAACACGGTGGAAGTCGGCAAAAGGCTCGCTTGCGAAGTATCTGCCAAAAGAAGAGCTTACTCACCCACCAGCCCTTGGAGGTAGGCACAGACAGGAAGTTGACATTGCAAGAAACACGGGATTCAGCTTTACTGATACATAGCACTGAGCAAAAGTCTTAGGCCACCAGCCGCTTAGTTGACTTAGCAAAGTTTTAATGACCATCCATATGTGACTTGAATACCACATCTTGAATATCCCACTTCTTTATTCATTTCTGCCCACTACCTGTAATTCGATCCTGACTGACTCAAGGTTGACTCATTCTTCCATCCTTCTGAGGTCAGTACTATGGCTATCCTTCCTTCCTTCCTTCCTTCCTTCCTTCCTTCCTTCCTTCCTTCCTTCCTTCCTTCCTTCCTTCCTTCCTTTCCTTTCATGGTTAGAATGAAGTATTGCAGGTTGACTCTGCCCACTATAAGCAGTTCAGTCCTGACCAGCTCAAGGTTGACGTAGCCTTCCATCCTTCTGAAGTCAGTGCTATTGCTATCTATCCTTCCTTCCTCCCTTCCTTCCTTCCTCCCTTCCTTCCTTCCTTCCTTCCTTCCTCCCTCCCTTCCCTCCGCCCCTCCCTCCCTTCCTTGGTGCTCAATGGTTAGAATGCAGTATTCCAGGCTGACTCTGCCCACTTCCAGCAGTTCGATCCTGACGGCTCAAGATTGACTCAGCCTTCTATCCTTCCGAGGTCGGTAAAATGAGGACCAAGATTGCTGCGGGCCATATGCTGACTCTGTAAACCGCTTAGAGAGGGCTGTAAAGCACTATGAAGTGGTATATAAAGTCTAAGTGCTATTATACCATTGCTATAACAAGTCCAATGGTGGCCTAAGACTCTTCCACAGTACTGTAGATTACCATAACAGAATCTTGAAAACCCAAGAGTGTTTCCTGTTTCCTCTATTTTATCTTTTCTCCCAGGTGAAAGGGAGCATCATCCCATTATTTCTCTCCAAAAAGTCATCCGCTTCCTTACCTTACTAAGGTGTCACTCCCTGCTCCACCAGGACTGTAATACAGGATGTTCTCCAAAGTCAGTGAAAAGTGCAGACCTTCAGCTTCGGAGATATAGAGGCTCGTGCTGTTGTTACTATAAGTGACGCACACAAACACCTGGTCTTCAGAAGTGTCAGCAATATAATATTCCTTCAAAACAAAATTTGGGAACGGAAAATTGTGGGTTTTTTTTTAAAGGGCAATAAAAAGCATTCGAAAGGGCAAAGTGGCTTAAATGTGCGACGTCTAATCTCAAAAACACCAACAAAATCTCACACCTTTGCCAAGAGTTCCCTGTAGCTTTATTTTTTTTTGTAAAAATTTTTATTTCAATTTTCAATACAGTTAATACTTTCAATACATTATATAAAAAAAAGAAAAAAGAAAAATACCTTTAAAATAAGACCTTAGGTGTCGCTCGTCTATCTCCCCCCCCGACTGTATCCACCCTCTCAACCTTCCTTCCTACTTCCCTACTCCCTCTCTCCTCTCATCTCCTCTCTCCCCTCATCCCTTCCTCCCATCCAACTTCCTTCCATCCCTTCCTCCTCCCCTCTCATCCCTCTTCGGATACAGTTCAGGGGCAATACCCGAGCGGCACCTCCCTCTAAATTACTCTATCTATTTTATACATTAATATTTCTATATATCTAACCTACTTAATCCCACCCATCCCCTCCTGCCCTACCCCCCCCCCCCCGCTTCCCAGAGCAAAATACAGGGTTATTGTAAACAAAACAAACACAAGCTATAACTTTTAAAACAAAAAATTTATACAATAAACAAATTCATACTTAACCCTTAACTCCCTCTAAACTTTAAAAATAATAATATAAATAAATCTACTATCAATCAAATATTATAAAATTCTATAAATAATAATTATTACATCAAGGAAAAATTAATCATAAAATAAATGGAACTTTAAAGTTCCATATTTATTCTGAATATAATCTATCCACCTTCTCCACACTATAATAAATTTTTCTTGTGTATGGTCCTTTAAATAAGCAGAAATCTTTAGCTTTAGATACGCTTCAGCTTCCCTCAGCTGTGCAATGGGCACAACGATAATACCTTCAGACACCCCCCCCCCAAAAGATGGGGATTATTTTCTTTGCAAAGCATTTGTTCTAAAGGATGCTTACGATCTATGAAAACATGCAAAACAAAATCTGAAAAAAAGAAAGCATGCTGATTATAGAGGTGTGGTTTATGGCTGAATAAAGTTTCTAGTCCCCACCCCCCCACCCGCCTCATTTGTTCGTACCTTAATGGGGTGTCTTGTTGCAAACTGTGCAACCTGCATTGGCTTCCGGTTAAAGGAGACCCACAGCTGAACAGATGTTTGTAGCTGATCCCCTGACAGAGGCTGAGAAGGGAAAGGGATGGACAGAGACAATCAAATATGAGGGCTCTTTTTCATCCTGAATCAAAAAAAAAGAGGGCTGTTTCTGCAAGCCGAAAACAAGTAAAAACAAGTCCCTCCATCAAACTCCACATTCCACTGAGGTTCCAGAACTAAATTTCAGCTTAATGTTTAAACAATTTTGCCTCCAGGACTCGGGCAGCGCAGTCAAATGAAACAGGAAATCACGACAACTTTGCCAAGAGATGTTTTCAGGTTGTGAAAACATGGCTGCCTTATGAAATGCTACTTTCCTGCTCATCTGCGGTGAACCTAGAGAGGTAAGTTCAGACGAACAAAGTTAGAGTGGACAGAACCAGAAAAAAAAATTTTTTTTTACCAGGCTTTTTGTGTCCCTTTATAGACTAATATGGGTAGTTCTCGACTTACCACCAATTGTTTCACAACTATTCAAAGTTATAAGGGCACTGAAAAAAGTGACTTATGACCAGTCCTCACATTTATGCCATCTCAGCATTCCCCATGGTCACATGATCAACATTTGGGCGCTGGGCAACCAGCACGTATTCACAACGGTTGTGGGATCCAGAAGCCACACAATCATCTTTTGCAACATTCCCGACATTTTCCAACAAGCAAAGTCAATGGGGGAAGCTGGATTCCCTTCACGAGCGAACGATTCATTTAACAACCACTCCAGCAAAAAAAGGTCATAAAACAGGGCCCCATTCGCTTAGCAACCGCCTTGCTTAGCAATGGACATTTTGGCCCCCATTGTGGTCCTAAGTCAAGGACTGCCCATAACAGGGTCCTTCCAAGACTGTGTCCATCCCCAAAGTTACTTTGTGCAGGTATGCATGCACTGCAGAATTTTGAAACTAAAAAAAAAAAAAACCACTTTTCCATGGGAGCTTGCAAGAAACTGCTGCTCCAAATTCATCGTGGCAAAACGAACTGAATCCATTTGCTACAATGGGATAGTTTAAACACTGGTGGTTTTGGGCTCACAGCCTAAGCCAATACTTATTGACTTGTTGGTTGGTGTCCAAGCAATTAAGAAATGCCACAATGTTGTAACTATGCTGTGGTTGCAGATTAAAAAGAAGTGGCGTGTGTGTGTATGTGTGTGTGTGTGTGTGTGTGTGAAAGAGAGAGAGAGAGAGCGCAAAAGAGAAAGAGTTTTTTTTTCTAGAAACATTATCTGTATCATGTCAACAATGAATGCAAAATTGTTTTTCATCAGGTCTAACCATCTCATCCACACCCATCTGGTCCACCTGGCAGCAGATGTCCAAAATCTTGTCCAGAAGACAAAAAAATGGTCCCCTCTTGTGAGGAACACTTTGCTAAAGGGAGATCAAGGTAAAAGGCTTTCATCTTGCCAATAACCCCAAAGAAGCTTGTCCAAAGTTTAGAAATCTCTGAGAAAAGCAATGCTCTAGCCATCCTACCTCAATCAATTATACATTTGGACCAAAGTGCAAAAATCAACTTTTTTGGGAGCTACTTTGCAGGACTGCTGGCTTCACACAAAACACTTTTTAGATGTTCAATGGGATGCTTCTGCTATATCCTGCTCTGTGCAAAATTAACATCAACATCTAATTCTGCTTTCCCCCCACTCCCTAGCCAAGCTGAGACGATAAGAA